ATTTCACATTCGATGTGTTTTTATTCCGAACCGTTTTGACTACCTCAGAGCAGCCTCGTACCGATTTAAATTTGAGCTCAATTGGCAGAGATTTAATATAAAGAAGTCAAGAAATCTCTCATTCTTGACAAAAGTTGGCCTGAAAACTTTAAATTGAGTTCGGCGAAGTTTACGTTGCTCAGCTATTATTACCGTTGATTTTAACATTTTAAAACCCAAATCAAGGTGTCCGACTTTTTAACACCAAGTTATTTATCTCCTTATGTTTACATCCCCAATTTAATAATCCCGCACTTGGATAACCCCACAATAATAATCACCCCGAAGTAGGATAAATGATAACCCCACAATAATTTAATCCTTTTTTACAGCCGATAAATTGTTTTATAATAAATTCTACTACAAGTATATAAATATTCCATTTGAGAGTAGAAATTAAGATCAGACAAGCTTTTTTAAATTCACTTCATGCATTTAATCAATTAAAAGTAATTAAAATTCGTTTACTTAAAGACAAAATCCTTCTTTTACGCGTTTAAAACAAAAATAACTTATAAGATCCTAATTTTAGGCATTAAAAGTCTTTGTTAGTTTTCTATTAAATCATTTTGCCTGACTCTTTAACCATCGTTTTACCGTTCTGTGAGCTTTATTTTTTAAAGTCTAATTCCATTTTCTTGATAGCAGGCCACGAGTATTATCCTATCGCAAAAACAAGCCTTTGCCAACTGGAACCGCTCTCCAGCCCAGCATAACAGATAACATTGCTACTCAACTAGCCCACCAACTAAAGAAACTTAATTCGCTCTGCACACTGAGTGCGCAAGCAACTAGAACAAGTTTTACCAGTCTGCTGAGCAACCAGAGATTTCGAAATATTCTAATTATTCAAAAGTTTAATAAGATTTAAGAATTACAATGGAAAAAAATGATCACGAGAGACACATTTCATTCGGCGACCATGAAAGTCTAAATGTGCCAGAAAAATTATCTTTTTAGTTGGCTGGCGGATTTTTCAAAGTCAATACTAAAAAGTTTCATCAATTTTACTTTATACATGTAAGTCTTTCAGGTACAGCTACATTTGCAAGTATGCGTTCCTACCAAATACAAGGGAAAATATATCTACCATGTATCTTAGAAGTCCTAAAAAAATAGCCCCTGATAGTAGATCTGAAAATTGTGGATGGATTTTGTGCAGGCCGCATTTGAGGCGTTTCAGAAAACTTTCTCTGTGTTAAATCTGTGAAACTCGGATTAACTCGGAAACTCGGATTAAAAAAAGAGTAGGCAACAACCCACGAAATTGCTTTAAAAGTTCAAATGCTACCCACACTGGCTTTTGAAAAAGAAGACGAAACAAGAAAATCATACAAAAAATAGCCAAGGAAAATCAAATAGCATTCGATTGCACCGTAAATGATCGAAAAAAGGCCAAAATTGACAAGCTGTCTTTTTTGGATTCGATTTCATGAAAGTTTTGTTCTGATTCGAGACATCCTATTTTTGTTCTTTACTACGAATCAAAAAGATGCCGCATAGTCCGGTTTGGCCAGAATTTTAAAATAACAGTTTTTAAAAACAACCTCAAAACTAACCAATTTTTTTCTATTTGTTTTTAAAGAAAACTGCTCAAAACAACTCGAATGAAAAAAGAGGTACAAAACAAAAGAAGACACTGGCTAACAACAATCAAGTGTTTTTGAAGAGCTCTGAAGATGAAAACAAACGCCAGCATTACTTCAGAAAAAAATAGGCTCTGATGAGACAAAGGAAGTCTACAGAAAAAAAATGAACAAAAACTCTATTGGAAAAACGCAACTGAAACTATTGATACAAAAAGTAAGAAAAGCGAGTCCTTGAACCACTTTTAAAAATAACACAAAGGCAAAGTTTTACTTCGCATACGCAAGCAAAAATATGACCAACAACGATACTGGGAAAAACTGAATGAGTAAAACTTAGATTCTACAAAATGTTTGAGTGACGCACGCCTATTATGACGCAATAGCAGTACCAGTCAATTTGAAAAAAAAAAGTTTTGCCAATTATTAAGCTTCAATTTAATGAGCAGTCTATGGAGCAGTAATGACATAAAAAGTACAAAATTATAAAAATAAAATTAATTTTTTTATTGGAGATTTTTTGTGAAAATCATCTCCCACACGCCAAATAAAATAAAAAAAATTGACAAATTTCAATGCTAGTAACAAGTCAATTATTGCAAGTAAGCTTCCTTTAACCAATTTGGAACGATTTTTAGAGGGATTAAATCTCCGCTACGTGTTAATAGCCCGAAATAAATTGCGCATTAATTGTCCCAAGTTGGTCAAAATGGCATTTTTCAAATCCCCATAAATTTTCGAAAAGTTTAAGCTCAGGACAACAATACTTTTCAAGTAACTTTTAAAAAATTCTGTCAAAAAAGGCTAGTTAAAAAGTCGAAGTTTGTCTGGAGAAAAAAAATCACCCCGAGCACAATTATTCCGTTAATTTCGTTAGGAAAGTCGGAACAATTAAAATCTGTGTTAAAATCCTTTAATGGCTGGTTATTGATCAAAATGAACTTTCGCAACAATCTGAAACTTAAGTTTTTGCAAAAAAATGGAAAAACTATAAAATTATTTGTATATTGTTTTAGCACATTGAAAATAAGTTGAACCAAAAAAAAATGTTGCAGAAATTCAGCAGAAATCAACTCAAGATGACACAGTAAAACAACCAGTTTGTCTAGCAGATTTGAACAAACTTATCAAAAATTGTGAAGAGTTTAATTCTGATTTGATTGGTTTCCAGGCATGATTGGTCATCTCTTCTCAAATCAAATCTTTATAAATATGGGCTAGAACCCAGAAGATATTGAAAAATCAAATGTCAGAAACTCAAAAAACTGTGCTAACTAATTAGCAACTTTAATTGCACCGATAAAAATGGGATCATTTTAGTTGATCGAACAATCAAAAAGAACAAAGGATTAAATTAATTTTGTTAAAACAGCGCTGAAACTCTACACTGAGTCTTTTATTCTTTGTACCTTTTTCAAATCTCTTTCTCAGTGCTTCTCACGAGCCATGATCTCGACGCAGTTTCGCGACAATTCTTGAACTCTGGGATACTCGCTAACCTGTCAAAAAACTTGTCAATTTCATCTTTGAATATTAGCTTCCAGCTATGAGCGGATGAACTGTGTAGTAGAATTTTAGAAGGGAAAGTCAGCAAGCAATTTTCCAATGCTCAATGAACTTCAATTTGTACTTATGCCAAATATAGCACTCATAGCTTATCGCTGAACATTTGTTTGAAACTTGCCTTCACGGCTCTACTAACTTGCATTGTTTGCAGTTTTTTTTTCTGCGTCTGAGGTGTTTTGCTTTTGCTTCTGTCAAGTTTTCTCTATCATTTAACAATTATATTTTTACCCATTACATCATGCCCGCTTGGTAGAAAAGCTTGAGTTTATACCCTATGCAGGATTAACGTTTATTGATCTTTTCAGGAAGGTTTTAAACAAAATATTTTTATTGATCTGAACGCAGTTCATTCAAAATTGGCGTCGCTCAGCAGTAGCTTATATATAAGCTATCGTTTTGAGAGGATATCCGACATGTCCTGAATCAACAATCGCACAAGTCAGTTTGAAACTTAAATTTCCTAATCTCAGAATTATGCTAAGCCACTACATTGAAACACAGAGGCGAAGTTGCACTTCACATTCACAAGCAAAAATATGACCAATAACGCTACTGGAAAAATCTGAACAAACAAAACTTTGAGTCTACAAAATTTATCAAGTAACGCACGCCAATTATTAGTCTACATACTTGCTACGTAAAAAACACTGACTTTTTTGAAATCACATTTTTCTAATCTCAAAAACAAAAATTGATACCCTTTAAGCTCTTTGAATTTCTAGATTTATTTATGATTGGCGCTTTTTTTTATAACATGAAACCAACTAGAGAAAACTGGATCAATAGCTAAAGTTTTTATTCAGCTAGAAATCTAAAAGTTAAATTCAACTTTCGAAACTAGAATCATGCATTTTTTTCGCCCTATTTTTACGTTTGTATTTGGAGAGTGCTATTTACGCCACTTTCAGCAGATGAATTTCAAATGAACTCAAAAAGTGCATATATACCTAAGTGCATTCATAAATGCATCAACATGTACGAATGCACATCTGTCGTTATTGTGAATTCTCCTGAAAAAAATAATTCATCAAGACCTATATAAGAGTCTTCACTACGATCATTACTCTTAATAATAGTCTGTTTAAAAACCCTCAGCATTGGCTGTACTTAATAGATGGTTATTGATCAAAATGAACACTTTAAAAACGAACACATTATGTCTCAACAATATTTGCGTTGCAAAAATATTTGCGACTTAAGTTGGGAAAAAGATTTTATACTATAACACAAGCTTTGCTTGTGTAAAACAGCCTACAAAAAATCGGAAAAGAGTCAAAGAACGCAAGGAAACAGAAAAAAGTATATGACCTTAAGCTCTTTGAATTTAAAGAACCTTTCATGATTAACTGTTTTTTTTTTGATAAAACTAACCCAATGGAAAAAAAACTATCAATGGGTAATATTTTTTACTCAGCTGGGAAATCTAAAAAGTTAAATCTACTTCCGAAACTTGAAGTCGATCTGTATTTTAAGGCCTTTAAACTTTTGCTTTTCTTTAGTGAACTTTACCTTCCTTTCAACAAAGGAAATGAACTCAATTGAAACAGTAGTCAAGTCAAACCGAAATTTCGACTTTCCTGAAAAAAATCATAAGGTTGTTTATAACTCTTTATAATACACTACGTTCAACGACTCTTTAAAATAAATACGTTAAGCGAGCTGTGATTTTTTCACATCTATCGTCTGCTATTCCCCATTACCATTAACTGTACGAATATAGGGGTTCAAACAGGGATTGAAGCATGACCTGCTTCGCTTTGATTGAAGAACGAATTTTCTGGCTTCACTAGTACAAAATCTGATCGAAAAGAAATGTTAGAACATTGTAATTGATTATATTACAACAGATAAAAATAGTTCATTTCCAGCAAAGCAAACTAAAGCTATGTTTAAATAAATCTACAATTTGGGTCAATTCAAATGTTGAAGTGGTCGTTCTGTTTCATTCCATGCTCCTCCATGTTAGCCATTAATGGATATTAAACGGCCATAACATGACCATGACTCCATGCAATAGTATAATCTCCATATTAACTATCAGAGGCCACGAAACAAACGCAGGGGGAGGGGGGTTAAGAGATAAAAACATAAAATAGGTATACTGAGTAAGTAAAACAAGTTATCATTTTAGTTAATTAGTTTTGATCAAATTGTGCGCTGAGTCGATTTAATGTAATCAAATTATTATTGGATAAGACGATAAGAGCAAAAGAGACAAATTTTATCATGATCGATTTTAAAAAATCACTTAGAACGTAGCACCATTGATTAAATAAAATACAAACGCCCAAAATATAACTGGTCAATCAATCTCCATTTCTCAAGTTGAGAGTTTTGGACGCTTGAAAACTAACGAAAGCCGAATAAACCCGACATATTCTAGCACAATCGCAGTTTGACACTCTTTTAGTCGTAACAGAAAATGAGGAGACGACTATGTCTGAAAAGAACACACACAAGGCCAACTGAAATCAGACTTACAAGACTGACAATCATCACGTATCTGATGAGTATAAACAATGCGGCTCATCGCGTCAAGTTTATCATTAATTCAGCCCTAAATATAATATCAGTTTACACATCTACTTAGAATCAGTTTGATACCAACTATTTTTTAATGCACCAAATTGGATCTAGTCTAATACTCTAGTATGTTAAAATATTGCACTATGCATTTCTGTTATGATTTATGTAGGCCAAGGAAGGAATAAGTCACACTGAAACAACGAGCAAGCTAATCCGAATTATTACTCTGCAGTATTATTCTATTTATCACTTCGTAAAACACCAGGTAAGTTGCTCAGTTAGTAATATCAATCGATCACTATTTCCATTACTCACTATTAAAACTCATCATCTAACAGGATGTTGAGACATTAATGGTTTTTGAAGCTGACAACTTATCCTGAAAGTGTCTTAAAAGAGGAATTGCAGACGCACAAAAAGTTATCTTTAAACTAAAAACAAATTTAATTTTGTAAGAAAAAACATGTTGCTCTGGAAATATGGCCCTTCTTTGAATCAACACCCTAGAAGCAACTCTTTTTAACTGCATTCAAAAATTAGACCAATTATTTGGATCTCAACCTGGACGGTTAGAACAGTAAGTAATATTTCGATTTGACACTGCTGTAGAAAATAGAAACTCTAGCACTGTAAAAAGACCAAGAACAGATTCAGTTCCCTTTGTATCAGTTTGAGGGCGATCTAGGGGGCAGAGATGGTCTACAACTAGATCCACTTGACGAAGTCACCTGGGCTTGCGCAACGCCAGAGTCCATTGGGTCGACATGATTCGCTCCAGTAGTTATTCCAGCAACTTTTATTTTATGCACCATATCCTGCGGTTCACGCCAGCTCCTCTGGCCAACGGCAACCGTAGCCGACGACAATTCTGTTTGCGGTGGCAAAAAAGTAGACGAGGACGCCTGATTGATTATGTTTGGATTGGTTGGCAGTGAGGCACTCTGCAGCAACATCTGACACGGAGTCGAAACTGAACTGCCGAAGGTATCAGCCTTTTTCGTGTTCGTCCCCAACTGGGAACCGCATTTACTCATGATTGTAGTAGTTGATGACTCACAAACTGCAACAGTTTGTGACTTGGAAATGGGCTCCACACCTTTGATGCCGGAAACTCCAGCAACTTGGTAATCGTGATTCCGGCTGAGAGATCTGAGAACTGCTGGCGAAGAACTAGCAAAAGTTTCGACGTAACTAGCACACGCGGGAGTAGCTTGATTATTGTAACAAGTAGAAGCCACTGGAATTCTTGCAGGCACGGGTGGAGGCTGGTCCAATTTTGGCGATACCTGGGTTAAAATAGGGGAACTTTGGTATCCGTCACTGGATCCTCCTGATACCAGTTTTGACGTACCAGAAGGCGATGGCGACGAACTGGAAAACGCCGCATGCGCTTGCGGCGATACATTCACACTTCTGGATCCAAGCGATGGACAGGTAATAGCACCACCTCCTTTACGCTGCATAACCGTAACTCCCCCACTCCCACTAACACATTCAGAAGTGACTAGGGAAGGCGAGGCATTCACCGATTTAGTTCGACTGGGGGACGGGGTTCTAGCGAGAGGAGATACCGGTATGTTGTTGCCAGACTTCCGACGACCAGAGCTGGTGACGCCTTTAGGTCCCAGTTTCAACTTCTGGGGTCTGAAAGCATCTTGAGGAGCCATTCCGACTAGCGTATTCACTGGACCCATTTGAGACTGACTCGTGGCACAGCTGGAACAGGAAGTCACTGACTGAATCCCTAAACAAATTCTCCAGTTAGCCAGAAAACAAACAAGTTTTCAATGTACGTCAAAAAATGAGCTATTTAGAAATGGGAATTCCGAGTAGCTTGAAAACTTACCAGCTCTCGCTTTACAGCAGGATGCATGACAAATAGCGTCAGTGCTTTTCATACAAGAGGACTTCTCTCCAGGAAAAACAGAATCGGCTGGTGTAATCCCTGGACATCCAGATCCGGATGTCGGCGAGGGCATTGCCACGCCCCCTGTAAGGTGCGCAGATCTAGATTTCGGCAAAGTGCCCGTGTGGTACCCGGATGTTGTTGGCGCCGTTGTAAAGACAGGAGCCACGAGTGGATCGTTGATTTGAGAGTAGGCGTGGGTTGAAGCTAGGTAAGGGTCGTTCGAGCCATGTTGACTGTACTTCTTATATTTGCTACTGTGGTTTTTCTGTTTATGAGGGATGTGGTCTGGGGGTGTTGCTGTGGCGGGGAATACATGGGTGGGTTGGTCTGAGAAGGGATGCGGTTGATGAGCTGGGTTGGGATGTACGATGTCTCGACTTGACAACTTCGGCCTGTAGCAAATCAATCAACGTACAAGGTGTGTCCAAAAAAGGCAACTAATATTCAACAATCGTGGATTTTCAAAACATCGATTCTAACAAAATCCCTGTAGCGTTCATATAATATTCTCAAAAGATTAGCACCCACCTACAACGGAGCATATTGCTTCATATTATACACGCCATTCAAAAAAAGAAATGCAGATGATTTATTAACTCACTTAATAATCTGCGGTTTATCCACGCCTCTAGTGCGACTCGAAAGTTGTGCCCTCGAACTTCTACTCTTTTTACTTTTGGATCCCGAGTGGTGCACACTACTTCCAGAAGTTCCACTGGCGGCGCTGATTGAACTGGCAGGGTTCACTGATCCGTATATATGGGACTGGGCCAATCTTCCAGAGAGGAAACTGCTGCCCGACTGGTTTGAGGTGGACGATGTCATGCCTTTCCTTCTAGCACAATCTATAAAAAAAAACTTTTTTTTCAAACAACTTCCCAAAAACTATACAAATACAACCTTAACTTTTAATGATTAGTAAGTAGTATTGATTAAAATTAATTTTAGCTGTCTTTTTCCCATTCGATTGCAATAATTAATGCGCCTAAAATATAATCCAAAATATCAGCAAACTTTTCGTACCACAAAATTGACAAATGATGTAATGCTGTCAAATACACTTTCCATGACGAAAGCGCAAAATATTCATATCTAAAATCAATTCCAATATATTCCACCCAGCTAGAAATAATAGTAACCGTTTTTGATTGACGTCTCCAGCAGGGGCGTGGCCTGAATCAGCAGGAGGTCACGTGACTGGATGATGAGGTACACCACTTCAGTGTGGGCCATGCCCTGGATACTCTGGCCACCAATGTGGGTGATGAGGTCGTTCTCCTTCAGGCCAGACTGGTAAGCTGGTCCAGATGGGTCCACGTACTACATTTTGAAATGCCAAAAACATATTCATTCCAGAATTGACAAACACAATATATTATATTTCATTTCTCGATGAAACTTATCAGATAACCTCACCATGTAAACTGAAGAATTGTTCCTTTTATTCACAAGCAAAAAATGAAAACTATCGATATGATACCTGTTTTCATGTAACTGATTTCAAAAACTAAATATAATTTGGGCGACATTTTTACTGAAAAAAAAATCAATTATTTTAATGATTTTTAATTTTAAACCCATAGCCTAAATTAAAATTTCCCCTGCCCTCGGTATTACTAAAAGGCTCTTTCCTATTAAAGCCACCTCATCAGAATAAAAAACACAACTAGAACATCTTTGTATCCTGATAGAACTTGAAAAAATTGCTGCCACTTAATTGACAGACGATGCCTCACCGTGACTAGATGTTGGATGGTGAAATCTTCCGACTGCATCGAGTACACTTTGATGGCCTTCATGTGGAACCCATAACCCCTGTTTCCCCTTTTGATCACCGGCAACGCATCCCTTATTGGAATCCTAGGGAAAATCGGGCCACAATTTGGACCCCCTCCGCTGAGTTTCGATTTATTCACAACTTGGGGTGTGCTTCCGGAGGACCCCGAACTACCCGGGACAGAAGCAGGCAACGTGAAGTCCCTGGGATAGTCCTCATCTTTGAAGTCGTTTCCTCCGCTGCTTCCGGTTAAAGTATCTAGACATGAAACTCCACTGCTCATAAAGTTCAAGCGTGCAGCGTCTTTATCACACTCCTAACTCTAGCGTTAAATTCAGATATACTTTCCCTGGTTTCTTGCAGTTTAGATGGTTATCGTTTTGATTATGTTGCGAAAAACTTACCAAGAGATAATTTATCAATTTTAACCAAAGTTGAGAAAAATGTATGAAAACTAAAACTTGGCGGTAAATTTACACGGCCATTTTTCCGATTTAAAGTTGGGAGGGTCATAGTCATCATTTTCATCCTTATCATCAAGCTTTCTTTATTTAGACACTTCTTCTTGTTCTCTATTTGATGAAGCAAATGACTTTGATACTCACCTTGGCACTTAGGTTGGGTGGATTTGAGGGTAGAGTTAGAGCCACTCAATCTGTCTGGAGAAGTGTCTGAACTAATCGGACTGGATTTGCCTTTATTCCCACTGCCACCACTTCTTTTCCCATTTGGAGATGGAGATTTGTTTCTCGTTTCCGCACTGGGTGGCGTCGTCATGTCTGAACAATACTTAATTATCAAGTGGAAACCTCAAATTGAATTCCTTTACTCTGAATTACGGAATTAATTTCAGTATTCGATAGGAAACCAGATTAGAAAACACACTAGGAAAGAAATTGAAAGGTGAGGAAAGTAGAAAATCTTGATAGTGGATCCCAATCAGGAAGCTTAACATTATTGAGAGCATTTTTCCGAATTTTTTTTCAAAACATCTTCCCGTGTATAACCATTTACTTTAAAACTTAAGAAATTCTTCACTATTTTAATATCATCATCATAAAATCATATTTCAACTGAACTTAATGCTAGCTATTTAATTTAGAACGAAGAAGATACTTTGAAACGCCAAATCTTGAAAGGGTGTTTTCAGCACACATTTCAATCGAAAACAACAAGTGCTCACATTTGAGTTCACCTTGAATCAATGACATCTATAAACTTTGTAGTCGAATGACTAACAAACCCTCAAGCCTATATTGACAAAATTTCCACCCCCACTTGAAAAACTATTTAAACGTTATCATGAACAATTAAATTTTGCATGGTGACACAAACTAACTGTTTTGAACCAGACATTTAGCCAAAACAATCACTATAAAAACATCTTGATCATCTTAGCACCAGGCATTTAGCCAAAATAACAAGTAAGACCGAATCAGAGGTCGAACACTATAAAAACAGAAAATTTGCTATAAAGTTGAGTGGAAAATAGCTTAAAGGGGCACAACAGCGGTTCGCCGTGATGAGCTGTACAGCTCGTATTTTGGTCCTATTCCTCGTGGATAAATGATCTTAAAAAAAGTTGCAACAGTTTGCAGGAAGTTTTAGCTATGTTGAAACCCTTGGATTAATATCACCCGGTAATAAAAACTCTACTCTCACCAGCTAAGGGTTTTTGTTCGGTTTTTTGAGAGTCCAATCTTAGCAATTTTGTGAATAAACAATTCATTAGATTAAAATGCCCTATTTAATATAAATCGGCGCAAGTGGACATATCGGCTCGATGGTGTTCCAGTTGTTATATCAGGGAACAAGGATAACCATGAGATAGATTATTGGAGGTAGGTATTTCAAACAAAGTGCAATCAGTCCAATTAGACAGGTTGTCTAGCAGAGGTTCACTGAATTCTCAGAAGCATACAACAGATGAATTCCGTGACTACAGAGCCGATGAATGTCCTTCGTTTTCAGCTATACTGAACACTAATTCAGTAGAGATAGATGTTAGATAATTGGACAATATCAACGTCATTCGACAGAGCTAATGTTAGTCAACAATGTCAATTTAATTTATTTCCTAATTTCGATTTTTTGTAAATTTTTTTCAACCCGCAAAAAAAACAATATAAATTTTCTATCAAAAATATAACACATCCTGTTACCAACACCCGTGCCCAACCATAAACAAATATTGATTTTTCTAGACTGAGCAGAACGATCAGCTTCAGATACACATTTAGTGGTAAGCGTACAGGCCTCACAATCTCTTCAACTATTTGTCCTCTTTTCTTATGGCACCCCTACCACCACAACTGAGTTAGAACATACATTCAATATTGGTGAATGAGGGAAGAAAATTAAAGAACATGGCCAACAGACAGTTGGACAAGAGTCATGAACGAAAGGAAACAAAAAACACTGACTTGTTTTTTGAAAAAACTTCAATTTTCGAATTTCAAGCGAAAAATAGATAGCCTTAAAGCACTTTGATGTTAGTAACAATTTAACTTTGACACTTTTTGATAGAAGAAACCCAATTTGGAAAAAATGGATTAATAGGTAAACTTTTCATTCCGCTGGGAAAGCTGAAAATTAAATTCCACTTTCGGAACTAGAAGTCGATAACGACGTTTTCACTTTTGCTGATCAATAGTGGATTTTGCCTTCATTTGAATCATTGAAAATCAAATAATAGCGTAAACAAGTTTTGGACTTTTTCCTGAAAAAAGAAACAAAAAATCACCAAGACCTATATAAGAGTATTGTCTACGTTCATGACTCTTAAAAGTAACAGAGCATCACAAAAACTGCAGACAACTTTAAGTACAATGCGCAGCGATAGATTGCAATACAAGGCCTCCGGAGATTGTCGGTACAATTGTTATAGAGGTTTACACATCAGACTAATTGTATCCATATAGGCATTTTCAAAAATTATATGGCCTTGAAGCACTTTGATTTTCTAACTTTTATGCTTGACTCTTTTTGATAAAACTAACCTAATTTGTGAAAACAGGGTCTAAGAGTTTTTTTATTCGGCATGGATATCTTAGTATTAATTCCAGCTCACAGAAAATGTCAATGAACTCAAGCTGACCAAAACAGATTGACTTTGAAAAATTTTCATTTCTCGAATTTCACAGAAAAAAGTAAGTATTCTTTGAAATTGATGAATCTTTTATGACTGACTTTTTTCAGAAAATAAGCAACAAAAAATTAGAACAGTATCATGGAACTAAAAAAATCTGAAAAAAATTTAAAATACATCACACGTTAGGACTCGTTGAATTACAAGACTGTGATTGGCAATTTTTACAAAAATTAACCCAATTTGAGAAAATTGGATCAACCGTAATGAAGGCAAGTAAACAGAAATGGAAAGGGGTAAATTTGCCTTCCTTTTATCAATTTACTTGAATTTAAAACGAAACAAAACACTGCAAAACTAAATGCAAACGGAAACGAATTTTAAGAATTTTTCTTGACTAAAATTCTAGAAGTCCAACATAAGTTTATAAGTTTCTTCACTACGTTCATTGACACTTATGAAAATTTTCTTTTTCTGCAGGGAATTTGAAAAATATTATTTTTTGAAACGCAGTCATTCATGTTTTTGGAGACATTGGAACTTTTAGTATAGTATTACAAAATTTGCCTTCCTTTTAGCGAACACAATTGAATTGAAACTAAAAATAAATCAAAATCAAACCCCGGAAAATCAAATTTGAGCGTGAATAACTATCCTAAAAAATCAGCACTTTCTTATGAATTTCGTTCATTGACATAAAAACAAAGTACTATAGAAAGTTGCACAAATTAGCTTACGTGGCTTAGTAGAACTTATTTCAACGAGGAATGATTATCCTTAGACAGGCTTATCAACTATGACCGATTTTCCGCAATCCCCTGAAACGAAGTTAAGTTTTTTGTGAGGCCGAACCAATAACTGAAAAAAAAATCGAGTTCAAATATTTTGCTTCAGGAACCACTCTTATCTGATGCGCATTTTTATGGCCCCTCTAACACATTGTATCATTATAAGAAAAAGAAACACAGTACAGTATGATACGTTCTGCGTGTATAGAGATGACAGTAACAGTACACTGACTGAACGTGCATTGAACTGGAGTGACAGATTTTTCGAGATACTGGGAAACGTTACGTCATGGGTTCGATCCTGGACGAGATCTATTTTGTTTAACTGGCCAGATATTGCAATCCATTACTAAAAACACTTTCAATTTTTTCAGTTGGAAACTTCAGTTACATAGAATACAGACACTTCAGTTCCCAAAAAGTGAGAAGAGTATGTTGATGTTGAAATGTGCATTTGTACCAAATATGAAGTAAGTTGGTTCTGGCGAGCGGTGATCACCCAGTCGCTTGGCACTTCTGCCTCCCAGCGAACCTCCGCTGGTGCCGGCGAGAGATGAGGCCAGCGAATTGGTGAAACGCTGGCCTTGCACCCCGCTACGATGGTGCCATTTTTTGGGCTGAGACGATACGCTGTCTGCAAATTCAAGCTTATTTTATATACACTTTAACAAATTACACTGCCTAAATGGTTTATAACTGAACAAAAACTTAACTGGCCTATATAGGTCTTCACTTTTAATAAGTTCATCAATTCTTAATAATACACAAACAGTATCAAAACACTTACGGCGCCTCGATATATGCGAAGAGGATGTCTCCCCATGCCTGCTATGTTGCATTTTAACACCCGCCTGGCTTTTCCGTAAAGCTGATGGCGTTGTCGAGTCCTCATACTCGCCCGACGAATTTGGAACCATGATTCTCAGAAGGGAAGACGAGGATGAAGGTTTCGCACAGTCCGTTTGTGCCAACTTCGCGTCACCAAAATCATTCGGAGATATCTTCGCGCTAACTCCTGCTCCAATTGAAACTTTGTCATGGCGATGAACCGAGTTACTTTTTCCTGGGAGCGTTTCAGACAGCTTAACTGAAGCTGCACTATGTTTCGAGGACGAAGCAAGTTTTCGAGATGCCGAATGACTTGATTTAGACTTCTTTGAGCTGAAAAAAGACTGAAGGTAGTCATCGTATAATTTTTCAACACCTCTATGTTCAGCCAAATTTTCAAGATAATGGAGCTTAAAATCGTCAGAATTCGAAATCCGAAAAAGCACAGGGTAGTACAAAACATGTAGAACGCATACAATAGGCACAGAGAATACCAAATTCATAGCACAAACTTTTAATCGCGAAATCAAGAAACCGCAATGTGTACAAATTAAGGAAACAAAAACGTGAATCTTAACAGTTTGTGGTTGCAAGTACTTTTAAGACCAAGTAGAGTTTCCAGAAAACAAAATCAAACTTTCAGACGATATAAACTTCTGGCGGTAAAAATGATCAACAAAAATGCTCGATCTAATGTGAATTCGTTTCCGCAAAATTTCAACGTTCAATTGTATGCAACATTTTTTAATGCTTCTTTTCAATAAGGCCGCGCGGATCTTACCTGTTCGATGGTGTATGATCAGATGTAAAGGCTTTGGAAGCTGAGGATTTCTTCCTAGCTTCTGCATATTCCTTTTCAATGCTCGATTCACTCAGCTCAAGTTTCAATGTCTCGGCTAGTTTAGCTGTCAGCTGTTTACTCAAGTCGGCTCCCGTTGCCGACGTCAAAGTGTGATCATTACACGACTCAGATGACGTCGCCGAGCTCTCTTCGTTTACACATAACGAGGTGTTTAGACTACTCGCAGCGCTGTTTCGCTCATCCGCCGAAGAAATGCTCAGGTCTTTAATTGACTCGGGCATGCTAAGTTCAAACTCAAGTTCACGATAACTGGCCGCGACTGTCTTCAATTCCACCTGTACTAGGCTATCCGAAATTTCTGTTGTCGAGATTTCCGACGAAGATTCAGCTTGGGTCGTTAAGTTTGAATCATTTTTACGCTCTTCTGTTTCATTTAGTCCCGGGTGTTTTGTAGAGGGTTTGGTTGGCGTGGTGGGAGAAAACAAAGCGGCATTTGGTGGTAACTTCGGCCTGAAAAACATCATTTTTTATGGAAACGTGTCTCAGGGCTAGATGATTTTATCTGACGTGAGTTCAATAGTTATGCTTGTTTCTGAGTAAATTCATCCTCATGCGAAGCCAGTGATCAATTACGTGACAACAAACCAATTTGAGACGAGCAACGCCCATCAATGGCTATGGTTTATAACCATTGTCCCTATGATACGATGAGTCGATATTATAACTAGAACCACAGTTATACATGGTCTCTATATTTCAAATCTCAAATCAAAGCAGCTCTAAATTCTAAAAGCATAATAAATATTGATTGCAAATTACACGAAAACAAGACTGGAAACAAGTTTAACTTTTTTGGTAAAAAATTATCTAAATAGTTGATACGAGAATCTGAGAAAAGTTTGGGTGATCTCTCTTCAAAACTCTCCGTTTCAACTTTACACATAGCCAACTGAAAGTTGGAAAAGAGCAATGAACGAAAGGAAACAAAAAAAGTTGTTTTTTGAAAAAAAAACTTCGAATTTTAAAGAAAAATATATGCCTTAAAGCTCTTTGAATTTCGCGAAAAAATTATGAATTAAAATTATCTTGATAGAATTAACCCAATTTGAGAAAACTGGATCAATAGGTAACATTTTCAATTCGCTGGGTAATCTGATAATTAAATTACATTTTCGAAAATACACGTCGATCACGTTTTTCGTGACCTTTACATTTTTGCTGTTCGATTGTGAAGTTTGCTTCCTTTCAACAAAAGACCTGAAGTGAACTTGAACAAAAATCAAAAGTCAAACCACGAAAAAACAATTGCCCGTGAAAAAAATCATCAAGACCTATAAAAAAGTAATCACTACGTTCATTACTCTTAAACACGCGTATTGAAGTGCGTTTGCGTTAACTAGTGCAATTAATTGGGGAGGGCAATTTGAGGTTGGCTTCGCAAAGTTTAGAGATTAAGACTACAATTAATCGAAAGAATTGTAGCGTAAATTTGATTTAACCTTGCAGTTAAATGGTTTGTAAAGATCAGGAATGATTGATATGGAATGTAATGTACTAATATTGATTAATATGTATTAATTATAATTTTCATCTGCTTATCATCCTTTTGTAGTTGTTCCGACCACCTCACAAAGCGACTGGAAGGAATAATGAAGTAGAGTGTTTATTTTTCGGCCAATTTTGATTTTTAAATTTTGATTTAAAAAAACTTGGTGTCTGTCGAGAAAAACTCGATCAAAGTTTTAGTTTTGTAGACTTAATTACAATTTTCAGATAAACTTGAGAAGAAACTCAGCCACCAATTTAATTTCAATACAATTTTCGGTATTTTAGTTTTTATCGCTTCTCATTTACACAATTGTTTTCAAATGTATTCTCCCTTAACTAGAAAAAAAACTTTGTTTTAAAATATCTTATCCCAGCTTAAATCATTGTGGTCGGAACATTCGGCGCAACTTGCACATCAACCAGCTACCCTTGTTGTTGTTTGTTAAATCAATTGACCCAATCAGTTACAAGTACATGTGCTGCCTGCTACTCTCTTTGCGCTCTGCTTCAAGGTATATGTGTTATTAATCAACTTACTTCGGCTGGAAGAACTTTTGCATTTGAGTGGCAGAAAAACGCTTGAAGCTGAAAAGCACGAGTTAGCTCAACAACGGAAACAAAGAAACCAAAACGACAACACAAAATCAATATTTAAATCAAAGTAAAGGTTAAAACAAAATTGTTAAAGAAATGAAAACTAAAAATTGTTAAATTGAAGAAACAGCTTTTTTTTATCAGCCTCAAACTCGACAGGGCAAGGATTTAGAAAGAAAACAAACACAGAAAATTGTCACGGTTAATTCTAGATGGGATAAATACTGTATAAAACTATTGAAGAACCAAAAAATCTTCAAGAGTTCGAAGAAAAATCAGGACAAAATATCTTGTAAAAAGCCAAATCTTGACCTCGATGTTAAACCTCTTCGAAACTTTTGAGGGCACATCGTTAATTCCAAACTGACAACTCTCTACTCACTCTCTTGTGGTCGATTGATTCCCAGTCCCATTTGAGCCCGACATCACTTTCGGCGTGAAATCTCTGGGAGGAATGACTGGCGAAGGCGTTTCGTCTGGCGTGTGACAGCCGCCGCTGCTATCCACTCCTGAGTCCACATGGATGGGCTTCTGGAGATGTTCTGGCACGTAACGAATAGGTTTTGCTGACCTCGGAGGCATGGCTGGAGCCTTTTCCAGACCCGCCAGAGATTTGGACAGCTTTGAATCACTGGAGGACTTGACTGTGTAGTTCTTGATTTCTTCATCGGGCGTCTTATCCGCTTCGAATGAGCTGTTCAGTTCTAAACAAAACTACATCAGTTTCGAAATTCGAAGCAACTACGTATATGGCATTTTTGCTCGTTATTCTAATTCAAAACCCTGATTCGAGCTAATTAATGATCTGCCCAAAGCTATGAGCACACTATTATGAGCTACATAGATATTTCTGCTTATCTCTGTAATAACCAGTTGTTTCAACGTTGCAATCAAAAACACGTTGCACAAGCGATGTGCAGACAATCATTCAGGTCATTTAGCGATCCACTCCACTTGCATTTCAACATAATCATAGCATGGTAAAAAAAATGACACAAAAGCCAAAAACAATATATATTTCACAGAGGCGAAGCTGAGCATCGCACCGCTTGCGATACAAAACAAGAAAGCCGCCAAATGAAAAAAAAATCGAAAAAATTTCTAAAACGTCATATACAATAAATCTATGGAAAAGAAAATGGCTACAAAAGAATATAAAATAAGAAACAACGTAAGAAAATTTATCATGCAGTAACAAAGCCGAAAATACCTTAGTAGAAACCCTTTACGCCAAAACAAATCCAAAAACTGTATTAAGTCACTACACCGTCAAACACAAACGCACACACAAAAAATTTAATCGCGCATCAAATAAAACAAAATGAGGCTACTAAGCCGATATAATATTGGCCGAAACCTATTGAGCTAAAAAAAGGAAAAAAAAGCCAAAAAAATAGGACTAATAAAAAGATATTTAGTCCCCTTCTACCTCGCCCTAAAAAAAACACAACGCTCGTCAAATGACGCAATATGAGCTCACTAAGCCGATATATAAGAGGCCGAAACATAGAAGTCGAAAATTTATTAAAAAACCGAAAAAGTTTTAAAAAAATCAAGACTAAAAAATATTATTAAGTCGCTCTACTAAAAAAAATCGTTCATCGAAGGCCGCAAAATGAGGCCACTAAGCCGATATAATATAGGCCGAAACCTATAAACCCAAAAAAAATAGAAAATAAAAAACGAAAAAAGATCAAAAACATTTAAGACTAATAAAGAGTTATAAAGCTCCTAACCCTCAATTACATACTCACAGAGAAAACCTTTTCAGTCATCGAACGATGTACCGCAACATGAGGCCACAAAGCCGCTAAAAATAGGCCGAAACCAAGCAGAGAAACAGAAAAAAAAATGAAATTTGAACAATCAAGTTGGTAAAGGTAAAATTACAACCAGCTTAAAAATAACTAGCGTTTAACGCACCTTCGGTGCTTCGAAATTTTTTGACAACTCATGAAAAACCGCATACATTGGAATAAACATCTGTAAACTTTTAGTGTACTCTGACTGCACCCAATTACAGGGTTGGTAATTTCTAACTTTAAATTTTTTTATTAATTCCCATTTTAAAAGCGTCATCTCGAAAACTTAATGGGCCTCTGGAGAAATTTGGAGGCCAGATTTGCAACCACTGAGAGCACCCTACTATAGGGTTAGGAATCCAAAATTTTGTGAATTTTTTTAAACCTAAGTTTCCCGAAAAAAAAATTTAAAAAAAAACGTCTTATCTCGGACACTAAAAGGATTTGAGCATTCATATTAAGATACAGGATTTGAGACGCCTGGGTGTACGCTGACAATAAGGTTGTATCTTCATCAAGTTATTAGTTTCAAATTTTCAGAATTTCTTTGTAGATAAGTTCTTTGAGAAATTTTGAAAAAAATCAAAAAACGTCACATCTCGGAAACTAAAAGCATTTGAGCAGTCGCATGTGGCAAGATTTGCAACTCTTTAGCGTACCCTGACAACACCGAACTATAGCGTTGGATATTTCAAATTTTTGAAAAATAATTACTTTAAACTTTCTAAAAATTTTGAAAAAACACAAAAAAGTCACATCTGGAAAACTACAAAGAATTGAGCAGTCGTACTTGGAGGCAAGATTCGCAATCCTTGAGAGTACTTTAACAGGACCTAACTACCCGTTTGAGAATTTTAGATTTCTAAAGAATAACAATAATTTAAGTTTCCTGAAAATTTTTGAAAAAAAATCACAAAAAACGTCATATCTCGAAAACTACAGAAAATTGAGCACTCATATTTGGAGGCAAGATTCGCAATCTTTGAGATTACTCTGACAGGACCCAACTACAGGGTTGGGATTTCAGATTTTGCGAAAAAAAATTAATATAATTTTTCTGAAAATTTTTTGAAAAAATCACAAAAAACGTCATATCTCGAAAACTACAAGGATTTGAACAGTCATATTTGGAGGCAAGATTTGTAACTCCTTAGAGTACTCTGACAGCACCCAACTACAGGGTTGGGATTTCAGATTTTGCGAAAAAAAATTAATATAATTTTTCTGAAATTTTTTTGAAAAAATCACAAAAAACGTCATATCTCGAAAACTACAAGGATTTGAACAGTCATATTTGGAGGCAAGATTTGTAACTCCTTGGATTACTCTGACAGCACCCAACTACAGCGTTGGGAATTTCAACTTTTGTGAATTGTAAAATGATTCGGGCATTCAAAATTGGAGGCCAAAATCAAAACCCCTAATTCGATATTGCGAGTACTCAACGTCATATGCTTAAATTTTTACAGAAAAATTTTAAATTTAAATTTTTTCGAGATATAGCAACGTCATATCTCGAAAACTACAAGGATTTGAACAGTCATATTTGGAGGCAAGATTTGTAACTCCTTAGAGTACTCTGACAGCACCCAACTACAGCGTTGGGAACTTCAACTTTTGTGAATTATTTTGTTATTTGACATTTCTGAAAATTTTTGAAAAAATCTCAAAAATCGTCTTATCTCGTTCAGTAAAATGATTCGGGCATTCAAAATTGGAGGCCAAAATCAAAACCCCTAATTCGATATTGGGCTGCTTAATTTATACTCGGTAAAATAACCACTAAAATCAAATTGGAAAATCGAAAAAAAAATCTTAACCATTGCAATATACGATATAGCTTAAACATGCAAAAATAATACGTTGAAAAAGCTTAAACATGGCGAGATAGTGAAGCCCGCATTTAAATATATAATAGATTGGAAAATCGAAAAAAAATCTTAACCATTGCAATATACGATATAGCTTAAACATGCAAAAATAATACGTTGAAAAAGCTTAAACATGGCGAGATAGTGAAGCCCGCATTTAAATATATAATAGATATCGAATAGGAAAGATGATTTCGAATATTACACAAAACATATCTGTAGCGGTTAACTTGTTGCTTCAGAGGCTTCCAGGAAAGAAGTCCACGAGAAAACTCCCGTGAACAAAGTTATTTACGGAAAAAGTCTAGGGTAATAAATCACGAAAAAAAACCAATTTTTCAAGTTCCCCTTAAACAATATAAAACTAAATATTTTCCATATCAAATTCCTCAAAATAATGACACTAAGCCGATAAATATCAGAAACCTTGGGCAAAAAAAAAACAGAAAAAAAACAAACAACGATGCTGAAATAGAAATTGGTAAACTTACTATCATTTTGAAAACAAATCGTATTGAACGGGAATAATAACTGCAGAACTGCTTAAATTATGTCTGTTGGTTCACAAAGGTATAAAAAAATTGGAGATGAGCATCATTTTCGGTCATCCTATGAACAAAGTTATTAACAGTAAAATTTAGAACCCGGTTGCAATACCCTTGCTTATTACAAGGGTATCGACATCTGATCAAGGTATTAGTATCTTATTGAGCATTGCCAACAGACAAGTAGAAAAAATTCCAAGACCACAAGTAAACGAAAAAAATACTGAATTGTTTTTTGAGAAAACCTTTCAAATTTCGAAGGAAAAAATGCCCTTAAAGCTCTGAAATTCTATAACAATTTACGACTTGCACCTTACTGATAAAATTAACGCAATTTAAGAAAACTGGATCAATCTGGATCAATTTTTGCTGGAAATCCGAAATAAAATTTCACTTTCGAAACAAGAAGTCGATAACAGTTTTCATGACCTTTACACTTTGCTGTTCGATAGTGAATTTGCCTTCATTTTTTTTAAAAAAAAGAAATGAACTGCACTTAAATGAAAATAAACCAAACAACAAACCGCAAAAACAAAAATTTGAGCCTGAAATTTTTCCTGATAAAAAAACAGGATAGCAAACACTTCATTCAGAGTTGTAGACAGAGGCAAAGCTGCCCTTTGCAAACAAGCAAAAAACGACATAAATTAGCAATTAAAAATGAAAAAATGAATCTTTAAAATTAAAAATTTAGCTGCGGTGGATTCGAACATACGACCAAGAGTATTAGAATTACATTCACTAACATTAGCCATCAATAAAGCAGCTAGATTTGCAAATAAACTGCCAATGCTATGCAGCAAAAAGCACCGAATACAAAGATACAAATTTCGCTTGTAAAAATGAGGTAGAAAAAAAACTAATAGTATCCACACTAACTTTTGCTAAAAAACTAAAAAGCACAATACCAATTTATATATAATATTGAATTTCAATAAATTGCAAGATATGAAAAATTAAATTTCCGAAATCTATTTTTCATTACTGAACTGCTGTTTCAAACATAGCTTTTTTTGGCTCATTTGAGAAATTGAAAAACATCAATTGTATCAACTTAATATTAATCGAATGTCAAAGCGCATGCTATTAAAAAGCCGTAAAAGTGCTAGCAACTTAGGTTGGAAAAAAGAAACCTCGCATTTATTGAACTACGCTCGCTAAAACGCGTTGAGTAAAAACACTGAATCAATAGGTAATTGTTTATTCTGCTGAGGAATCTTAGAACTCAAACCTGCTTTTCAAATAAGAAAACAATCATGATGTTGGTGCCAAATGCAATTCTGTTACTATAGACCTTTTATTTGCCTTCTATGTTACCAAGACATTTAAAATACGACTTGAAAAAATCACTAAGCGAAAAAAAAAATTGAACGTAAAGGTCATAAACATAGCCAACAGACAGTTGCACGGAAGCCAGAAGAAAAATCACCTTAAAAACTATCTAAAAAGCTAAATGACCTGATATTGTCTCCACCTTGCTCCATGACATTTAAAAAAATTCAATTTCAGTCAGTTCGAACCTGTTGCCGACTGTTGTCGGTCTCCCATTCCTTTCTCCCCACTGAACTTCTCTGTAGCAACAGGACATCTTTCCATCCCAGCAGCACTATGGTTCCCTTCTCCCGCTGACGAACGGGTGGAAACGTTCGAGCCTTTACTCATCAGTTGAGAACCTGAAGTGGGTGACTCGGCTGATTTTTGAGACACGGAGGATGAAGCACCTTCACAAAATTAATATATAGCAAACAGAAGTTTAGATGGCCAGGAAATAACAGTCTAGGCACATACTTACAAACCAAGAGATTAAATTACTTCACACAAAGCTTATTATATTTCACTTAGCTCCGAAAACTGATATCAAAAAGGGCAATCTTAAAGAACGACTGGCCGTGACGATTCAAATTCACGATTGTGCGATAAAACTTGCATAACATATCAATTTCAACTATAAGTTTGATAGCTAAAATAATAATTTTACAGCTAAGAAAGGGAGCTTACCTTGTACAGTGATGGCGTGCAGTGAGCTGGAGGTTGACACTGGGGCCGAGACGGAATTGCTAGATGAGCATGGGGAGGTCTGCTTCTTTAGAGAAGCCTGAAAAACCAAATAAAGTAATTCCACCGTGGATTCAAACACTTCAAACAGAAAAAACGGTACCCTCGGTTCGTCAATATACAAGGCCGATGACTGACATAACATGAAGACGAAAACATGACTCATCAGTAAAATCATTCACACAAAAATACACAAACTAAAAGCGCCAAAATGTAGCTCTAAAAATTAAAAAAGAAAACCAATGGGTTCGCAGTTCAAAACAAGCCCAGTTTCCGCAAAAACATGAAATATAGTCAACAGACAGTTGAAAAAGTGTCATTGAACTCAAGCAGAACAAAAAAATCAACTTTTGAGTTTCAAAGAAATATATATGACCTTGAAGCACTTTGGATTTCAACAATCAACTATAATTGATATCTTTTTGACTGCAAAACAGCAACTCATAAAAATGCACCTCAACAAACTTTCCCTGGAAAAAATCAAAACGTAGCCCACCGACTGTTAATGAAGTGTAGACTTGTTTCGAACACCCCTAAAAATCAAACTTGAGCGTGAACAACTTTGATATGCTTTTACCAGAACCAAAAATTAACACGATCTATATAAGTGTCTTCCCTTCGTTCAATCTCTCTTAAAAAGGTTGAACGAAATTTACTCACTTGAATGGGGGCTGGCTGTGGGGATGAACACGAGCTGTTGTTGTGGCTGCCAGTTCCGGTGCTGTTTGTGCTGCTGCCGCCGGCCGAGTGCGACGCAGACTGGGAGGCAGAGGCGGAAGGAGAGGCGATGGAAGCACTGCACATCCGCTGGTATCTGAAATAGATGCTCGAAACATAGCACGTATTATAAAAGATCACCTGCTGCAAGCAGTAAAAATTGCCTCAACAGCAACCAAAATGTAGCGAATTGAATACAGATGACTGCATGTCATACGTTACTTCAAGTCAAATTCGCTCGACGTCTCCGAAAAAAAATGATCCACTGGATCAGAGATTAATCGATGGTTTTCGCTATGTGGTTTTTTTTTTTGGGTCGGCCGAGTTGACTTTCCGAGCTCTCCGGCAAACAGGCATATTGACAAGAATTTTTGGGCCTAGTGCCAATTTAGAGTTGGTCGGACGAAAATGATGTCGGAAATTAGTACCAAATAGGGGACCCTTTAAGCAGTGATGTTGTCAAAATTCTACGGTTGGTGAGGGTGCTAAACCCAATCTGCCCTATATCCACTACTGCATTGGACGTTGAACACTGACTGAATCATGTCTAGTTTTACCTCGGCGAGCATGCAGAGAAGGATGAGCTGAGTTGTGATTGAAGTGAGACGGAACTCGAGTCACAGACGTCCTCGTCCGAGTCAGTGTCCGACACAGAATCATCGTGGTTGTATCTGAACAAAACAAGCCGACGAATAATAAAATAGAAATGTCAAGATTAAATTTGAGAGCAGTAGAAAAATTATATCATTTTACCTTTTTCAACCGAAAATTTGGCGACTTGAGGCCGATCATGATCCGCGCTGCCGCTGGCGTTCCTTCAGTATGAGATTCGTGAAAACTTCCAAGCAATAGTATTCAAAAATTGCATGTCCACGAAATAATAATTGTTCCGACCATTTGAAAAATGTGAATGAACTTTGTATTCGGGTGTTTTAGCTTTTTCTTTTTTTTTTGGTCAGAACATTTGAAAAATTTCAAACGACATTAAAAATTTCCCGAGTTAAGAAAAACCAGTTTAAAATTTTAGATTTTTGTTGTAATTTCGAGGTAATAAGGTGAGTGTCCAGGCTTACAATAGCTTATTTATGCTTAATTTAAGCCGTGAAAATTTTATTTAACCCGAGTAAAGTTAATTTTTGGAGTTTTCAGCGCCATTTTAGGAATCAAATTTTGGGAATATGTAGAATTTTTTTACGATTTTTTTTTTCGCTTTTCTAATCATTTTCCTAAAATAAAACGTTTTCCAATTATGTAAAATTATCCTTGTTATGTAAAGTATATTGACAAAAACTGAAGCACAGCGTGTGTTGAAATAAATCGATTATTTTCGTGCAGTATACCCAGTCTCATAGAGCTACGGACAAGCTGATTATGTTAAACGCTTTCTTTCTGTCTGAAAGTTTCATTGCAACTGATCTTAGTCGCTCATTTCAACCTAGCCTTCATTGAAATTGTTTTTTTTACCAAGTAGAGCTTCGAAACAAATCAAATCAAGCTAGAAGTTGCCTTAGGATACATCACGTGTCAGTTCATCAAAAAACTAGAGGATCTTTCGGGGGCTATTTTCATGGGCGAAGGACCAAAAACAAAAAAAAGCCAATTAATTAAACGAATCAATTGCCGTTCAATTAAAACGAATTTAATGGAGGAATATTTTGCTTCTTTCAAAATGAAGCCCTTGAAATATAAAGTTTGTTTCAATTCGTCGGGGGTCAGCGACAATTTGAAAAATTTGCACATTTCTGCCGTTTTTTCATAGTGCCAAAATTAATGTTAAGTCCCTGGAATTATTTGCTTTCCTTGAAATTTTCACGCTTTCTTTCTAAATTTTTGAATACTTAAATCTGATTGATTGACTTTTATTTTTGCCAATTCGGTCCTTTGCCTATGAGGGATTCCACCGATCTTTCTGCCTAATTCTTCCGCCTAATTCCTAATAAAGAATATCAATCACTATTAAGGACCAATTACAAGTAAACCCTTTCTCTAGTTTGACAACAGAGGGGGAGGCGTTATATTAAGAAAAAAGATCCAATTAGAATATAATTATGCGAAAGTTAAATTGTTGCTACCTGTCGCTGCGCGTGTCAAAGTAGCTAGTGTCTTCGTCTCCTTCCAACAGAGGGATGAACTCTGCCTTCTGCTTCAGCAACGCATTCCAGTCCAACTCATTGAAGAACGGGTGGTTCTTCAACTCCACCGCACCCCCAGTGCCTCGACGGTTGATGGGGTCCTACAATACACAACACGCAATAAAAAGGGGCGGGTTTCGGGGAAAACAGGGGGTCCCCATTTGGACGTTGAACAGTTTGGGCATTTCTGGCCAGCTTTAGCTATCACAGATAGTCTTTTTGACAAAATAGACTCGTGGGAGAGCTCGAAAATCAATTTGGTCAAAAAAAGCTCGACAAAATTTAAGATAATTTTTGAAAATTCGACTCTGATCCAGGACATTTAAATTCACGGCTGAATCACAAAATGCAATGACTTAGGCCACCATCTAGACCAGAGGGGTCCAATGATGATTTGCAGATTTGAAATATTCCCGTTTATTTTGGCTTTACATATCAAAAATTAAGTGTCCAGTACAATAAAATCAAGTGCGTTAAAGTTTAGGCAAAGAAAACATAGATTTTGCAAATTTTACGGATGAGCACAATTTCAATAACTGATGTTTAATTTGTCGTTAAGTTAAGTAGTTAATGTAAAGTAGTCGCCTGTGCTGTATGAGAATCACTGTTTGAGTGAAGTTCCATTTTCCCCCAAAAAATAGAAAAAAAGAGGATGACTGACCTTCACTAACAAATCTTCCACGATACTCTGTGCCACAAAAGGGGGGTACTCATCCCCCTCCTCACTGATTGGGGGCCACTCTACCGGCATTGATAGGGCGTGATCGAACAACTCCTCGGGCGTGTCCCCGTAGAAGGGCGTGTCTCCCATCAGCAACTCATAGAGGATCACTCCACACGACCACCAGTCCACTGGCTTTCCTACAGTCAGTCAATTACAATATACAGTAAATAGAAGAAGAATTAATTTATCCAAAAGTATAAACTACATAACAAACAAAACTCTGATGGTACGAAACCCATGGAAAGGGTAGATAACGAAATCAGCTGATCTGCTCTATGTCTACCCTTGAAATTTACTCAGAACTTAACCATAGTTATGGTTTTAAACTGAACAATAAACTGAACAAATGACTGTTTTTCATCGCAAATTTTAAGCTTTACAAGAAACCGAAAACTGAAGTTCAGATAGTTTTTAACATAGCCATTAGACAGTTGGAAAAACGTCAATGAAGGCAAGAAATAAAAAAAACTGACCTGTTTTGAAAAAAAAAACTTTCGAATTTCAAAGAAAAAATATCTGCCCTTAAAACTCTAAATACAAGAACATACTATGATTGCCACTTTTAAAATAAAATTAACTCTATTTGAGAAAGCTGGATCAATAAAATATTTTCAAGTCGCATTTCAAAACCGTGAAAAATCACATTTGAGCGTGAACTAGTTTAACACCATCTTGAAAAAACCAAAAAAATTCATCATGGCCTAAATAAGTTTCTTCACTACGTTCATTGACACCTAAAAATAAAAAGTTAAAGTGAACTATTAACAAAATTCAATAAATAATGCACTCTTCCCCTTCGCTAGATGTTGGTATCATTTGGATGTCTATTGGGTTATTACAACTTTTAACCTGTACTTAATTGGTGAAACAAATTTCTACCCCCACATTTTCGTTTCAATTTCGAAAAATTATTTCAATCCTACAATAAAAAAATGAATTATTGCATGGTGAACAAACAAATCATTCTGATCACTGCGCATTTAGTAAAACCATAGTGAGAAACATAGTCAACAGACAGTTAGAAAAGAGTCAATGAACGCAAGTAAACATAGCCACAGAGAGAGCATTTTCATTCTTTTGTTATTATAGCATTTTAAGACTTTTCCTAGAAACAAAACTAAAAAAATCATCACAACCTATATAAGAGTCTGAACTACTTTTGATAGCGGTAGGAAAAACTCACATCGCCAGATGTTGCAAGTATCGCCTGCACAGCAAGTGTGTACGAGCCCAATATTTGTAGTATCTGTGGAAAGTAAAGGAAAATAGCCAACAGACAGTTACAGAAAAATAGCCAAGCAAGTAAACAGAAAAAAAATACGGTCTTATTTTTTGAAAAAATCTCAGCTTTCGAACTTCAAAGAAAAAAAAGATGGCCTTGAAGCTCTGTGAAATTCTAAAACAATTTGAGTTTGACTCTTTTGAGATAAAATTAACCCAATTTAAGAAAGCTGGATCAAAAGCGAAAAATTTTATTTCGCTGGGAAGTTCGATAATTAAATTCCACTTCCAAACTAGAAATCAATCACGTTTTTTGCTTGCCTTCCTTTTCACGAAAGAAATGAACCAATGTTAGAAAGAAATCAAACAGTACACTAGGAGAAAATAACATTTGAGTCTGAACAAATTTTACGACTTTTCTTAAAAAATAAAAAAACATCTCCCGACCAATATAAAAGTCTGAGCTGCGTAAAAAAATGACTTTTTTTGAAAAAATTGGAATTTTCGAAACAGATGCACTTAGAGCTCTTTGAATTTCAAGAACAATTTATGATCAGCTTTTTTTCGATGAAAACCCAATTTGAGAAAAACTGGATCAATAAGTAAACTTTATTTCGATGAGAAATCTGAGAATTCAATTCCACTTTCGAAACAGAAAGCCACCGCATCGTAAAACAAATTTTAGAAAAAATCCAACAAAACAATTAAAAAAATTTATTATGTCTCAAAATGAAACACAATTTAATGAAACCCTCAAAACTGGGATAAATGGTCATAGAAAAATCCAAACGCGGGAATTTCAAAAGGTAAATCTCGAATCGATTAGCAACAAAAATTCTAAGGCATTACGAGGAGGTAAAACAAAAAGTTGTTCTGAAATAACTCCAAACAAACAAAAAACAAGACGAGAAAGTTATCTAAAAGAATAATGCTGGCAATAAAACTGTCCTCTATTTCACTTTTTTCGCTATCAGAAAGTTTTGTTAGGCAAAAAAAACGATAAAACAAAAAAATACACTAATCGGCTTACACTTAAATTGCAAAAAAAACACTAAACAGATGAGAGAAAAACATTAAATGTAATAGAAACAAGTAGCAAAATTGAATTAAATTTGTTATTTAGAAATGAAAAAAAAATCCGAAAATTACTAGTAAAAAATTTTAAAAAATTTGATAGTAATTTGTGATCTGAGAGCTCTTAAGGCCCCCTAAAACCGAGCTTCTTGCTAAAAGAAGTAAGAAATTAACATTCTACAAAAACAATTAGACAAGAAAGCACTAAAAGGAAAATAAAAATCAACTGACAGAAAAACTGATTAAAACTTTTGCCAAGAAAATTGCGAAAAACTCATGAGTTCAATTACCTTTGCTGAAAAGAAAACGCTGAGAGCAGCATGTCCCTTAAGCAGTATCGAAGGAAAAATCCGAACAAATCTTTATTGAAAACAAACAAACTCGGAAATTTTTTTAATCAAAAAATCAAAAAAAAAAAGAACAAACACAGACAAGGTAAAAAACTTTACGTAAATAAGCCGAAAAATTTAAACCCGAGACTTAAAAAGCTGAAAACAGCTGAAATATTTTCAAAATAAAATCAAACGAATCAAAATAGAATCAAGATTTGCATTTACCAGCTAAAATGCAAGCCCCATGTATGCAAAACAATTACGCTGCATATTTTATATGCATATTTGTAAATTGACCAATTCAAACTCCTTTCTAAAATTTTATTAGTCTGTGAACAAAATTATTTACGGGTAATAAGTCTCGTACCCGGTTGCAATACCCTGTTTATTGCAAGAGTAAATACGTCAAAGTCAAGCAGCAAAAAAATGAAAATTTGAGCCTGAAAAAAGTTTTGCTTAAAAAACGGAAAAAACATCGCGACCTATACAAGAGTCTGAACTACGTACATAAAAGTCTGAACTGAAGTAAATCGCATCAATAGAAAACTGAAATTTTGAAAAATCACTTTTAAAAAAATGAAATTTTGAGAAGTGGGAGGGGAAGTAGAATATATTTTTATAACTTGAAAAACACTGACCGTATGCCCTCTTCTGGAAGCACTCAGGCGCAATGTACTCCGGGGTGCCTATGATCTGTCCGTCGTTGAACATGCCTGGCCTTGACAGGTCCTCGTATATATTGCATGCCAGACTCATCAGTCCCATCCGACTCAGTCCAAAGTCTGTGAGCTTGATGTGGCCCTCACTCGTAATCAGCAGACTAAACAAACAAAGCTGACTAAACAAGGTTGAAAAATAAACAATTTGAAGAAGGTTGAATTTCTAAAACAATTTGTGATTGGCTTTTCTTTGATAAAACAACCCAATTTGAGAAAACTGGATCAATAAGTAAAAAATTTTATTTAGCTGGGAAATTCGATAATTAAATTCCGCTTTCGAACCAAGAAGTCGATCACGTTTTCCGTCACCTTTACACTTTCGCTGTTCGATTGAAAAATTTTTATGTGGTTCGAATCACTGTTGAAAGGGCTTAAATATGATATATCCCTCGAATAATTCCAAAGATTATTTGTGGTACCTGATTTGGTGTAAAAACAAAAAAAAACTGATCTGAAAACAAATTTCCTCCCTACTTTTAATGGCCCTAACAAATTTCCTCCCTACTTTTAATGGTCGGAACACAATTTTGCTTGAAACACTAAAAATATCAATTAGATAATTATATAGCCAGCATACAGTCAGAAAAGTGTTAATTCAATCAAGGAAACCAAAAAAAAACAAGGATAGCCGGCTACTGTGCAAGTGGCACAGAATGTTCCGACCATAGTCTAAAAAATACAACACAGTTTTTTCAAATTGTTGTCGTTTTTGTCGGCGTGATAAAAGGAGTGAATAAAAAACTGAGGATTAGGTATATTCGACAGTCAAACTAAAATAAGCAAATTGAAAAACAATTTTTATAGAAAAGTTACTCTGAAAAATGAAAAAAAAACAAAAAAAAAAACAATTTTTTCAAGTTTTGCAGTTTTTTGAAAATTCTGATTCCAAAAAGGCGCTTAAATACTCAGAGAAAACTAACGTTACTCAAGTAAAAAAAAATTAAGTTTTCAATTGAGCTATTGTAAGCTTTTAAGTAGTTAAAATAAGACTGCTCGCTCGCTTTATTAGCTCGAAATAAGACGAAAAATCAAACCTTATTTTCTCGACACCGAGAAATTTTTTTCAAAATTTTTTTAATGTGGTTTGAATCACGACTGCAAGGGCTTTATTAGAATATATCACTCAACCCAGTCCAATGATTAATTAAGGTGGCTGATTTTGCGTGGGAAAAAAAAACTAAAACACACCCGATAACAAAGTTCCTCCCCATTTTCGATGGTCGGAACAAGAACCAACTTTGGCCTTACAGATCTTTCCAATCTTTCAGTGATTCTACATCTTTTTTCAAATAAAACTAACCCAATCTGAAAAATAGAATAGATAGATATAATTTTTATTCCGCTGGAAATTCTATATATCAAAATTCACCAACGAAACTAAATCATTGCGTTTTTTGACGCTACTTCAAATTCTGTTATTTAACCTTTCATGCGTAACCCGTCCTGATTTGTTTAGGCATGGATAGATGAGAACCCTTGAAAATTTTCACAAATTTATCCAGTTTTACGCCAAAAAATTTAAAATGAAACTTTGAAAAACAAGTGCATTTAATTAAGCGAGCAGCCAAAAAATGAGATAAACAATTTTCAAGTTTTCCTTTCAACCCTTAAATTAGTAGTATTCAATACTTTTACTAGCATTTCAAAAACTTTTAAAAAATCTTTTTCCAGTCTCTTTAGCATGATTTTTCAATTCAGCGTGAACATTTCTTGTAATGCAATTACCCCCACTTGTAAATCGACGTCATACCAGCAAATTGGTTTTAAATGACCATCAACGACAAGACTGGCTGGTAGATCAGTACGTAATTACTATCGTCATCAGTACTTTAAACTTCCGTTTTTCATCCATCTTTGTTCTTTTCAGTACTAATAAACGTTCTTACTAGCTACTATATTTCGTCATTGAAAATTTCTTTTTTATCAAGAATGACATTACGTAAAAGTAAAACGACGTGGATACAAAAATTTAAAGCTCAAAAGACTGATGACTTTTTTATGCAGAACATCAAAAAGACTTTAATTTCTAATTATCATACAAAGACCAGACCAATTCCAATGAAATAATTCTTAAGCGATTGTTCATTTTTCTCTATTAATCTTCAAACTGTTTTTTTTTTTACAATTTCCATCGATCCAAAAAATATATTAATTTTACGTGACGACTGATGGTATGAGACCAATGTGATAAAATAGTCCCACTATCAACAACAAAAAGGAGAGGGGGTCTAAATTGGCGCTATTCACATCTACCTCAACGTTTTTTAACCCCAAGGGGTGATTTTCCCCTCGTCCGCTGATTAGACTGCTCTTCTTCTACCAAGTAGACTGAAGAAGGGCAAATTGTAATCAGGGTACCCCTGCTGATAAGCACGGGAGGGCTAATTGAGCAACTGATAATTTATCAGGTTCAACAGGGGAAGTTCTATTGGGTTCTTTAGGGCTAGGCTGATAGACACTTCAATTGATGGCTGGTGATGAGTCATGTACATGCAAGTCTTGCTATTGTCACCATTTCTTGCAAAATCGCCTATTCAAAGTGAGATGCTAGCAGCGCAAAACTGTGACTACATTGACAAAAACGCTTGGGCGTTAGGTAAAATCAATTTTGGTTTTCAAATTGTTGAAAAAAAAACATTTTCCTAAAAGCATTAAGCATCCTGCATGTAAAATTGCGCGTATTTTAAGGTCTTGAGTAGCTCAAAAGGCAAAAAACGGTAGCTCAGAAAGCAAAAAATTACAGGTTCACTTAAGTTCGCTAGTGCTGAGAAAACACTAGACAAAAGCAGACATTTACATAACTTTCAGTAGATGAATTTCAATTGAAATCAAAAACTGCATATATACCTACAAATGTATTCTTTGGTTATTAAAGCCTTTTAACACTTTTTCCTGAAAAAAAAAACAAAAAAATCACCAAAACCTATATACGAGTCTTCACTACGTTCATTACTTTCAAAAACTGAAAATCAGCCGACAAAGTATGACGAAAACCACAAATCCAAAAAATCAACAATTTTCAATAAATATGTATGAAAAATTAATTCCTGCCAAAAAGGATCTAACAGGTAGTTTTATTTGAAATTTCAAGAATTGAGCATGTCAGCTGCAAGTGAAAGTAACTGCACGTGTTTCTTACAATTTTTGTAAGAAAAGTTGTTTGAAAGCGAGAAAACAAGCCTAGCTTCCGATTACAAGTTACTTGCTCCATCAAGTGAAATTACCCACACAACAGGACTCACCAGAGCTGTTACATTCAAACAACAGAATTAGCGGATCTATCAACTCCATTTACAAGTTAATCCCTTGACAATCTTCCAAGATTTCCCAATAATCTGAACGTATTCTAGTTATGAGGGAAAAATTTAGACTTCAGAAAAACACTAAACAAAAAGTAGCGTTCAAAAGTTAACAAGAAACGTAGCTGTGTTTTCTTTCAGTCTTGTGATAGCAAGGGCATCTTATCCAATATGACGTAATACGTGTATCAAAAATTTCAACTATCGTTCAAATACAGCTTAAATGCAAGAGCTTTTCTCTTTTTAGCTCTCTCGTCCTATTTCTCAAAAATAAACGACGTTTTCAGATATCCCAGCGAAATAAAAAACTTACCTATCAATCCAGTTTTTTCAAATTCAGTTGATTTTAGCAAAAAATTGTCAATCACAAGAGGTCTTGAAGGGCTTTGAGGCTGTAGCTCTCTCGTCCTTTTTCTCAAAAATGAACGATGTTGCTGTCGAGATCAGTGTCTCTCGCCGTAGCGCAGATGGGTGTCACTGAAACAAAAAATGACTGAGCAAAAGAGAACGTACTTGTCTGGTTTGAGGTCTCTATGAACTATTCCGTAGCTATGCAGATATTCCACAGCTAACACAGTCTCTGCAAAGTACATTCTGGCCAGATCATACGGAAGAGCACCCACATTCTTCAGCAGGGTTCCCACGTCTCCCCCGTCCACGTACTCCATTATCATGCAGAGGTGCTTCTGAAACAAGCAAAAACTCAAACACAGTCCAGAAAATCCAAGCTCAACCTTAGGACACAAATTAAGAACAAAACTCTCAATTTTCTGAAATATCACTTAACTTCCGGATATAAATTAAGAGCATTAGAACATTCTTTTTCAAGCTTAGCAGGGCAATTTCAAAAATTCATATCAGCTACTTCTTGGCTCACGAAAATTTTGCAGCATGCGAACAAGACGGTCGACCAAATTGATAATCTCAGCTCTCCAATAGACTATTTTGCCAGGAACTTCGCGTCGCAGGTGAAAAATCATGACAAAAGACCATAAGTATTATTTTTGAGAACTTTTTTGAAGCTTTCGGCCAAAGCACGACCTCCTCAAAATTACTACACAGAGGCGAAGCGGAGCTTCGGAACACTTGCAAAACAATTCAACACATAGCTAACATAAAACTGGAAAAGAGTCAATGAACGCAAGAAAACAGAAAAAAAACATACTGACCTGTTTTTTTGAGAAAATCTCAACTTTCGAATTTCAAAGAAAACAAAATAGATAGCCTTAAAGCCCTTTGAATTTCCAGAACACTTCTGATTGACAATTTTTTGCTAAAACCAACTAAATTTTTTTAGAAAAACTGGATTGATAGCTAAGTTTTTTATTTCACTGGGATATCTGAAAATTAAAATCCACTTTCGAAACTAGAATTTGCACTTTCGCTGTTCGATAGCGGAGTTCGCATTACCTTTAACAAAGGAAATCAACTGACTTGAAAAGAAAGGATTCGAATAACTTTTATCTGCACAAAATTCGATTATTGAGAACCAACGGCCGGGCAGAAACTAAAGCAGAAAAACTTGGGTCGACCAAAAAGTTTTTTAAGAACCTGGCAAAATTTTTAAACTTGTTTTTTTTTCAAGGCGATTACTTTTTTCGTTTTAAAAAATAGGGCGACATCAGTTGTGCAGTGTAGAGTCAGAATCCGCTCTTTCAATTAAACCCTTAACCTCAAATTTAGCAAAAATTTTTTGAGAAAAGGAAAAAAGTTTCCATGAAACGATCAAAATGTCAAAAGTTGGACATTTTCTATGGCCTAAATTCATTTTCTAAAAATTTAAATAATCCAAAAAAGCGGTCAAAACGCCCGGTGAAGTAAAGTAGAGTCAAACGGAATATATAATCCCACAGAAGAGTGGCCGCTCTATCCATTGGTAACTTTTTCATGACAAGCGAAATTGCACTAGCATACAGAAGCAAAAATACGACCGATGACGTTACTGGGAAAAATTGAATGGGTAAAACTTTGAGTCTACAAAATTTCTTAGGGGATACATGCCAATTACGAGTCTACATAATTGTTAAGTGACGCAAGCCAATTATGACGCATTAGCAGTACCAGTCAATTTGAAAAAAAACCAACTGATATGCTACAATTTATACAGCGGACGCATTTTAACTAGTATAGGAAAAAGTTGATTAGAAACATCGGACCCTGCCCAGGTTTGAGCCCCTCTTATTTTGTTGCGGGTCTCCTTCCCTACCTCTACGCTACAGATCCATGATAGCTTGAAGCTAAAAAACTATTTCTACTCTTTTTTTTAAGTTTCTTAAGAACCTGGCAAAATATTTAAACTTTTTTTTCAAGGCGATTACTTTTTTCGTTTTAAAAAATAGGGCGACATCAGTTGTGCAGTGTAGAGTCAGAATCCGATCTTTCAATTAAACCCTTAACCTCAAATTTAGCAAGAAATTTTTGAGAAAAGGAAAAAGTTTCCATGAAACGATCAAAATGTCAAAAGTTCTATGGCCTAAATTCATTTTCTAAAAATTCAAATAATCAAAAAAAGCGGTCAAAAATTCCCTTATACCGACATTTTTGGTGGTCGTAGAACGCCCGGTGAAGTAAAGAAGAGTCAAACGGAATATATAATCCCACAGAAGAGTGGCCGCTCTATCCATTGGTAACTTTTTCATGACCGCGACTGTTTGGAAAACTAATAGTTACCTAAAATGATCTACGAAGTAGTTTTATTTGAAAAAGAGCGTGTCATCTTGTAATTTGTAAGAAATATGTGCAATTAAAGCAGTAACTTTCAACTGCAAATATGTAAGAAAAGTTGTTTCCAGGAAAAAAAGAGTAGTTTCCGATTACAAAACACTTGCTCTCGCCAGTGCAAAAAAGGCGCGTTTAGAAACACTTCTGGTTTCTCAGTGAAAAAAGAATGTCAAAAAAGAATAACAGACCTTTTGGGTGGCCAGGGTGCCAAATTCCTAACTTAGCCGCTTTCGCCACTAACTCAGCTACTGTAACCTTGAATTTTTAGAGGCGCTGCTTTAAAACTCACCTTCGTTTCAAAGCTGCAATACATTGAAACGACGAAAGGATTCTGTGCAAACATGAGAATATCTCTCTCTGCAAACACTTGGTCCAACATGTTTCTCAGCACCAGGTCTTGCTTCTTGATTCGCTTCTCTGCAAACCTCTGCTTAGTGAGTTTGTGTCGCACTAAATAGACAGCACCGTAGGCTCCGTTGCTGATTAGTTTGATCTGTTCAAAGTCGGCTTCTCCTGGCAAGGCTCTTGGAACTGGTTCCGACTAAAAATATTATTAAATTGAAAAACATTTTAGAAATAGATGTATCAAAGCTTTGAGTTTCAGCTTCGTGAAAGCATAAAATTTTTTTTATATTTTCCTTTCATTAATATAGATTTAAGAACCAAAGAAGCGACCTACGTCATATCCTAACTTTCTCTCTCGGCTACTAAATGTTTCGGAAATAATTCAAACTCCGCACTTAGTTGGACTGATAAAAAAACGCACTTAGGTTCAACTAATACTCGGTAACAGATGCATGTATCTTCTTTGATTGTCAAATAAACTTATGTCCGCGACTGTTCAGATAAGTAGAGTAGAAAATAGTAATATTTGCTAGTTACCTCATCTGTGTCAGGTGTGTTTGGTCTTCCACTGTCATATCCCCCTCCCGAATCATAGAAACTCAGTCTATTTATATCTCTCTTTTCACCCAACAGTCTCAGAATATACGAGGGCAAATCTTTGTTCATCCTCTCTGCAAGATCCCACTGGACCGGTGCCAACTCCTGACCCGATTCAAGTCGCGAGTAGAACACTTCGGGGTCAAACTCGAGACACTCCAGAAGTCTGGCGGGTCTGGACACAATTGAGAGCAGTTTGTTTCCTCGTTGTAGAACCGGTTCTAGCTGTCGGGCGTTCTCCACTCGATCCATTGCGTCACTCAGAAGCTTTTCAACCTGGAATAAAACGAACATCCATATCTGAATTTCACAACTGAACTCATAGGTTTCTCAGGTGCTTTTCTGTTCATTATTTCTTGATTCTCACTTTTCGAATTTCTTTTATTTTTCCCGTTAATGGTTGGCACCTTCTATAACATACATAAATTAGCCAGCCAGATGAAGAAAATGAGACGGAAGTGTCAAAATCGAAAAAATACTTTAAAAAGGTCAAGAGACAACAGACAGCTTGGAAAAGAGTCAATGAGTGCAAGTCAACAAAAAATACTGACATTTCGACGAACTTTCGAAATACCAAAAAAATAAAGGCTTTTAAGCTCTTTGAATTTCGAGAAAACTGGATCAATAGCTAAATTTTTTTAACTTCATTGGGAAGTTCGATAAATAAACTTTACTTTCGAAACTAGAAGCCGATCACGTTTTTCGTGACCTTTCTAGAGTTTGCCCTCCTTTTTACAAAGGAAATAAAAAGAACATGTCAAGAAATCAAAATTAAAATCGGAAAAAGTAAATTTGAGCCTGAAACAAAGTTCAAGACTTTTCCAGAAAAATCATGAAAAAAAATCGACGTTCATCGACTCTTAATAAAAATTGCATTACAAAAAACTCAGCTATAAGTGAGCAAAAAGTTCAATTTTCAATTCGAGGACTCCATCTAGAAACGAAATTGCCAGCAATAAATTAGCATGAAATCAATTCTATCAGGCGGCAACAAAACTGAAAATACTTGGGGAGATGCCGCTTGAGCTAAAATGGTTACCATTGAAAATTTCGAGCTATAAATTTTTGACTACGCCCACCCGAAGCACACATGTATAAAATTTTTTGTCGCTTCTCAAATGACGCAACATGAAACAACTAAGCTGATAAAACATAAACCGAATATAAATCAGCAAAAATAATCGGAGCAGGCAAATTTGCTTAATACAGAAATGCATAAAAAAGACTGGCAATTAGAAAAACCTGAAAAAAGTGTACGTTGTAGAAAAAGCCTGCAAAAGTCAGCGGACAAACAATATACTGACAGAAAAGTCCAACCCAGAATATTCAATACACGTCCAATTTAGAATTCCAATATTAAAAGAAGTCCCACCAAGGCAATAGTATTTAACTAGAATTTGAGCATGACAGCATTTCCGATACGAAAACGCTTGTAATTGCAAAAGTACTCAAGAACAAATTCAGGATTTAATCGATACAGATTGATTCATTGGAGTTCTGCCGTAATACTGAAGACCCGATTTTAGCGAAAATTTCTACGATACAGGAAAACCTTTGAAAAAAAACGTGACGAAAATGACGTCACATATTTTTTTAAAAAGCAAATACATTTTCTTAGCTCTCTTTAGGCAACATAAATACATGGCACAGCAGGCAAAATTTGAGAACTTATGAAAGGATTCGGCAATTAAATCACGTTTTTGGGCGCCCTCTAGCCTCATTATTTTGACGCCTTTATTAAGTTCGTTGGGCAAAATGGGCATCGTACTAAGTATCAAAGGGGACCTGAAAGGCGAGTGTGTGCGAACCCCTGATATGGGGTGTCACCCGACATTCCCAAAATCTATCCCTGATTCAAATTGCCTCAATCATACTTCTAAATATTCACTGCAGGCCACAATTGAAATAAAAATTCTATGACTGGCAGAGATAAAAATTCAAACTAATAATTTGGTTTAACATTAACGCTGCTACTAAATGAAATTAATCATAATAAAATAAAAATTAACAATGACAACGTCATAATAAAATACAATTATAAATTGAAAAAAAAAATGAATAAATCAATACCATTAAAAGTTACTAGCGTTTAACGCACCTTCGGTGCTTCGAAAACCGCATATATTGGAAAAATCATCTGCAAACTTTTAGTGTACGCTGACTATACCCAATTACAGGGTTGGTAATTTCGAACTTTTTAATTATTTTTTAATTCCCATTTTAAAAGCGTCATCTCGAAAACTTAATGGGGTCTGGAGAAATTTGTAGGCCAGAGTTGCAACCACCGAGAATCCTCACTGATAGGGTTAGGAATTCAAAATTTTGTGAATTTTTTTAAACCTAAGTTTCCCGAAAAAAAAAATTGAAAAAAACGTTCTATCTTGGAAACTAAAAGGACTTGAGCCGCCATATTTGGAGGCAAGATTCGCAATCCTTGATAGTACTCTGGCATTACCCAACCACAGGGTTGGGAATTTCAGATCTTTAAAAAATAATATTTATTAAAGTTTTCTGAAAATTGTGCATTTTTTTAAAACTAAGTTTTCCGGAAAAAAATTTGAAAAAAAAACGTCTTATCTCGGAAACTAAAAGGATTTTAGTATTCATATTAAGAGGCAAGATTTAAGACGCCTGGGTGTACGCTGACAATAAGGTTGTATCTTCATCTTCTTTGTAGATAAGTTCCTCGAAAACTATAAGCATTTGAGCAGTCGCGTTTAGCAGTCGCATGTGGCAAGATTTGCAGCTCTTTAGAGTACCCTGTCAACACCGAACTATAGCGTTGCGAATTTCAAATTTTGAAAAATATTTAATTTAAACTTTCTGAAAATTTTGGAAAACCGTAAAAAAACGTCACATCTTGAAAACAAAGAATTGAGCAGTCATATTTGGAGGAAAGATTCGCAATCGCTGAGAGTACTCTGACAGTACCTAACTACAGGGTTGGGAATTTCTGATTTCTAAAAAATAATCACATAATTTTTCTGAAAATTTTTGAAAAGATCACAAAAACCGACATATCTCGAAAACTTAAAAAAATTGAGCAGTCATAATTGGAGGCAAGATTCGCAATCTTTGATAGTACTCTGACAGGACCTAGCTACAGGATTGGGATTTTCAGATTTTTAAAAAATAATACCCATTTGAATTTTCTGAGAAATTTTGAAAAAATCACAAAAAACGTCATATCTCGAAAACTACAAAGAATTGAGCATCATATTTGGAGGCAAGATTCGCACTCTTTGAGAGTACTCTGACAGGACCTAGCTACAGGATTGGGATTTTCAGATTTTTAAAAAATAATACCCATTTGAATTTTCTGAGAAATTTTGAAAAAATCACAAAAAACGTCATATCTCGAAAACTACAAAGAATTGAGCATCATATTTGGAGGCAAGATTCGCACTCTTTGAGAGTACTCTGACAGGAACCAACTACAGGGTTGGGAATTTCAGATTTTGCGAAAACAATTAATATAAGTTTTCAGAAAATTTTTTGAAAAAAGTCACAAAAATCGTCATATCTCAAAAACTTCAAGGATTTAAACAGTCATATTTGGAGGCAAGATTTGCAACTCCTTAGAGTACTCTGACAGCACCTAACTACAAGGTTGGGAATTTCAGATTTTCAAAAAAAAATAATTATTTAAGTTTTCTGAAAACTTTTTGAAAAAATCACAAAAAACGTCATATCTCAAAAACTACAAAAAATTGAGCAGTCATAGTTGGAGGCAAGATTCACAATCTTTGAGAGTACTCTGACAGGACCCAACTACAGGGTTGGGAACTTCAAGTTTTGTAAATTATTTTGTTATTTGAAATTTCTAAAAATTTTTGAAAAAATCTCAAAAATCGTCTTATCTCGTTAACTAAAATGATTCGGGCATTCAAAATTGGAGGCCAAATTCGCAAGCCCTAATTCAATATTTGGCTGCTTAATTTAAACTCGGTAAAATAACCACTAAAATCAAATTGGAAAATCGAAAAAAAAATCTTAACCATTACAAAATACGATATAGTTTAAACATGCAAAAATAATACGTTGAAAAAACTTAAACATGGCGAGATAGTGAAGCCCGCATTTGAATATATAATAGATTAGAAAATTTCGAAGGCAACTAATGGATCTATGAATCGGATTTGTAGGGTATTTTTTGTGGAAAACGTTTCTTTTCTAAAAAATAGTATTTCTAAACTATTCTCTTCCCCAAATAAGGTTCCACTTTTTCAACATTAAGGACAAGTTTGTTTTCATTCAAATCTTAATGTTTTTTTCTAGTGTTTCTAGAATTGATTTTGTGGCATTGATTGTTAGCTCCATTATTAAGTTTCGTGTAGATAACATAGTTCTATCATCCGCAAATTGCCTTAAATTCATGTTTCGGTTTCATATGCGTTTAAAATCAATTACATAGATAATGAAAACCAATGGTCCCAAAACAGTACCTTGTGGTACGCCATGGAGTTTTTTTCCAGTCAGAATAATAATTTCACCTATTGCTTACGGTCTCTTAAAAATCCTTCAAATTATATGATGCATTATCGGAAAAACCATACATGCAAGATCTAAAAACGGTGAAATTATTTTTGTTGATTGATTCATCTTTTCACCAACCATTTCAGTATAAGAGATAACTGAAAGTGTTGCAGATTTAATTTCACAAAATCCTATTTGCTAGACGTTAACACAGCGATAACGACAAAAAGAAGCGCTTTAAATTGCAATAAAAAAGTAAAATAAGCTTTGCGTTAGTAAAAACTCGGCTACATCTCGGATTCGATTTGCGACCTAGAGATTATGATTCTCACGCAGTAATCACTCAGCCACGGACGCTTAATAAATCACAAACACGATCCACAAATACAGCAGAGAACAGATGCTACGAAATTTCCAGTGCTACAGATCGTGATTATGACCAAAGCGTCACCAAATAATTGAACACTGTAACACTTTTAATTAACACATATTTGCAAGTTAGCTTAGAAAAAAAAGAAAGTTCGCACTACTACACTTCGCTCGCAAGCGTAAATAACGAAAATTAGTATAGGTTTTCCATAATTCGTTTCAAAAGCTTTTGATAGCGTGTTCGAAAACTTTTGATAGCGTTTTTGTCACACGAAGTGGTTTGTAGTTTGATGCAACCTGGGTTTAACCTTTTTGGAAACAGGTGTAAAATATGCTTCAAGGAACAATTGGAAATGGTTTTTTACTACACTTCCATTTATTGCGAATTGCAGGTAGTACGTTCAGATGGCAAGTTTGGCTTATTTGAGGCAGAAAGCCTGTATTCTCAGGAAGCCCTGGATTTTTTTTAACGGTAATGTCTTTATTTTCCTTTAATATAATTCGTTGTGGCGCAATGAAAGTCGAACACTAGTTGTAAAATTTTCTTTTCGTGGTATGTTTTCACCTTTAAAATTACCTAATGAGATATAAAAAATTCAAAACTTCTTTCATATCTTTACTGGTGAATTCGATTATTTGAAACTGAAATTTTTATTCTAATATGTCACTCACAAGCATGTTTCCATTTAAGTAACAAAAATTACTGAGCAACTCATAGCCCTAAGAAAGAATTTCTCAGCATTTAAAATCGATTTAAATATTTTATTCATTTTCGTAAATTGAAATGACGCCATTTCCCCTAGCGTTGGCAAAATGAGTGGCTCAAAGCGCATCGAATTCTAATTTTGCTGGAAGGGACAGAAGAAAAAACTTAATTTCCGTATGGGATCAATTTTCAGCACTTGACGTGCAGTTTTATAACCACCCGTTGCCCTTTCAAGACAGCGTCTCAGCTCTTTCTAAGGAGAAATTAAAATCAATAGCAATATGTGCGATTCTATTGAAAAGTAACAGACAGTATACGGCAAACAAACTGACACTTTTGCATCAAATCGTGCCAATTACACTCAAAAGCTTTTCATGACTAAGTTTTTAAAAGGGACTTTTCTTATGCCATTTACACCATTTCTTAAAAGCAACTCCGAGTGCGAATTAAAAGGAGCCTTAGCTTTTTCAAATCTGTGCCATACCCTCAAGTCAAGTCTAATTCAAGAGATAGATTGCTCTTTGGTACTAATGGACTCGAACCCCCATCTACTTCGAACTAAAAAACAGAACTAAAAATTCTAGAATTGAATACTCTGTCTACCTTGATGCACAGTTCGTTGAAATAAGCTCCAGTGAGTATCTTCTCAGTGGACTTGTCCAGACAGTCCTTGGCCAACTTCAGGATCTGGTGGGACACAAAAGAGACCACTGGGTCTGACTCGGGTGGGGGTGGGGTGGACACTAGGAGAGGACTAGTGGCCACACTGTTGCTGTTAGCGGGAGATGAGAGACGACTGCTGATGCTCTTCGAAGGGGGAGGGGTTGCCTGAAACCAAAGCATATAACTACCACAAACAATCAGATGTTTTAACATTAACCAATTGGTAAAACGCATAAAAACAGACTACAAATTTTTCCTGTTGTACCGGTGCCTAACAGAAAACATTGCCAACAGACAGTTGGAAAAGATTCATGAGCGCAAGGAAATAGAAAAAAACTGACTTGTTTTTTGTACACTTCAAACTTTGAATTCAAAAGAAAAAAAATAAATGTCCTTCGAACTCTTTGATTTAGAGGTCTTTGATTTAAGAAAACTCAAAATTTGCACCTTTTTGATAAAATTAACCCAAATTGAGAAAGCTGTATCAATAGATATCAAAGAATAAAACAATCACTAAAACCTATATAAGAGTATTTACTACGTTCATGATTCTTAAAAAAGCATTTAGGAGATTATTCCTCACTTGTTGTGACGATCCTTCGCCATGTGCAGATCCTCGTGAACCGGACTGTTGAAGGGGTGTCGACGGGGATGAGCTAAACCCTACCCCATGATTGTGCTGTTGGTACCCAGCTCCTCCTGTAGCACAAAAATCATAGCCAACAGATGGTTGAAAAAGGTAAAGAGAAATCAAGAAAACCAAAAAAAAGTGGATTGCAACTTTTTGAACATTTGATCAACTATCGAATTTCGAAAAAGCTCTAGAATTTCATGAACTATTTAAGATTAGCTTTTTTTCTTAAAGAATAACCATCCCATTTAACAAAAACTGGATCAATAGGTAAATCTTTTTTAATACTCTAGGTCATTCATGAGTTTCCTAAGACTTTTCCTTTCCGATAGAAGAGTTTCCTTCCTTTCAACTAAAGAAATGAACTTAAGGAAATCACAAGTCAAACCTCGAAAAATCCAATTTGGCTGAAATAAACTTTCGTATTAGCACAGCACCAAAGAAAAAAAGTTAGCCGACAGTGTGTTGAAAACTTAATAATGAATGAGGAATACGAAACATAGCCAACAGACAGTTGCAAAAGAGTCAATGAACGCCAGTAAACAGTAAAAAATACTGACTTGTTTTTCTGAAAAAAGTTTGAGCGTGAACAAATTTGAAGACTTTTTCCCGGAAAAACAATTATCACGACCTACATAAGTGTCTTTATTACGTTCATTGACACTTTAAAACGGATCATACCAAATCAAGGGTAGTAGATTTGGTAGTCATACCAAAGGGTAGTCATACCAAATCAAGGGTATAAAAACGCTTCAATTACAGTGAAAAATGATTACATGACAAAAGCATCCATGATGAGACAACTAAGCCGACAAACGATTTTCATGAAAATCGTTCAAATTGAAAAAAATGGTACCCGACAAAAAATAAGCAGACTAACGACACACATAGACCGTGACTCGAACCCCAACCTAAGGATCTAAAGACACGCTGTCCGCTGTCTAGGTAGGGCGCATGGAGGTCAGTGAGGTTTCATAATAGGTCAAGGTCAACTTCTCACAGATTTGTAGGAATAGTTGATCAAATGAAAAAAGCGTCCCTATCACAAGTACACTTGCTCTCGCAAGTGCAATTATAAGATCGGTGAGACTATATTGAAGTTGTTCAGGGAGTAGCAACTTGCCTGCGATGGCGGTTGAGGTGGCACTAGGTGTGATGACTCCCCCGTTGGTGGAGAGAAACTCGCTCAGTTTGTCCTCCATCTGAGAGATGGCATTGGGGAACCTCTCACGATACATGTCGTTCATCAAGTGGATAGACGTGTCCAGCGTCAACGTGTTCCGCGTCGGACTAAAAACAAGCCGACGGTCATAGATTATGAAATTGTGACTCTCATTTTAGGTCATCGGCCTCTATGACCTAGCAATGGTTTATATCATCGGCTAAAATTTACCTAAATTGATACCGAACCAACTGGATCTTATTCAGTATACTAACTCAGGAAATAACTTTCAAATAATTCGAATAATCCAAGGAATCATAAACAAAAAAAACAACATTTTCTGTAAGGACAATAGACAATGAAATAAACAAGCACCGCTTCAAAATTGTTCAACTTTCACATTCAAATGTTTCTCTACGTGATCAATTCTTCTAACGGAACAAAAAACTTTAACCAAAATTCAAACCAATTAATTTTTACCTCAAACTTCTAGCTCTGGGTTTCATTGGGGAATTGACCATGTGGTGCTGCATAGACGGAGATACAGAAACAGCTAGGCCCGACAACGCGTGACTCGCCGACACCGACAGCGAGCTGGATCCGACGCCACTCGGTCCCGCAACACACTGGTTCGGGTGATGACTTTGCTCTCTGGCGAGTCCGAGAGAAAGCGAAGTTGGCACTTCGGCGGACGACGTGGCAAACTGTAGCAAACTAGGTCCACAGTTAATATGCAATGCTGTCGCTGCTGAATTTGAAGATGAACTCGCTGCGCTTCCCAGCAAATTAAAGGCGTCCGTACTGGAACTAGAAGCACTTGACGCTCCAGAATTGTAACTTAAACTCCTGCAGGCGTTAGTAGTTCCTGATGATGAATTATGAATTGACAATCTTCCTTGGGAAGAACCCAAAACGTCGCTTAGACTTCCGGTAGTCTCGCCTGAACTGTGATTCGTTTCCGAGCCCGTGCAGGAGTTCTTGTGATCTGAAGCCGGCGTCAAGCACGGACTGCAAATTGGCGTATTATTCGAGTGAACTAGAGTGTTGTTTCCACTTCCGATATGAAATGTGGGCGTCTGGTGAATTGAAGTGTCGAAGTCCAATTGTTGTAGTTGTGCGGTTAGACTCAAGATACTGGCTTGCTGTTTGAAAGACTGGTTTGAACTGTTGCCGCCTAATTCGTGGTGACTAGAAGCCACAATCTAAAGCAAACATAGGGATAAAACACTAGCCGCCGCATCGCAAGATATATTCTGGCAACATTAAAATTAAGAAAGATCCAATTAGAAAAATTAATACCTTTACGAGGGAAGACACTCATATACTCACTTCATAACATTTCATATGCTGAGCTTTCAAAATGTAGAATAATTGTGAATCAAATTAAGTTTACCGCACTGCAAAACATGGATACATAATTACTTGATTAAAAAGGATAACCAGTTGCTAAGCAAGTAGCACAAAATGTTTAGACCATACTGATTAAAGAAAAAATCAAAAACACAGAACAAATCGATAAATTTTGAAGAAAAATTATAGATGTACCCATCGTTTGCATTTAAATGGTTCTGAGATCTACGATTTGTTTAAATAAAAAAAAACTCGGTTAAAATTAAAAAAAAAATTGAGCCCTACATCGTCAGCATGGAAAAACCATGAATCATATTAGGTTTACATAATATACATAACTACAGATATACATAATTGGCTCAGGGCATGAAAACTAGGGCACAAGTTAAAATGATCACACGTCCCTCGGTTTACACTAACGACTGTCAAAATAACAAAACAACGTCGCCAAACACAGCAAGTGCTCTTGTTTGAAGTTACGCCGACCAGAGCGTCGGCAAAATCCTGTTCCTCTTTTCGTTTCGTATACGAAACTAACAACCCAACCTTTTTGTTATGAATAAGAATAGGGTAGTAACGCATGGACAGAAACTACATGTAGAAAGGGCGAAATGTTTGGCAATAATTTTTGGGTAGAACCCATTTGTAGAACAGAGCCAGACATTTGGTGGCCCTTGGAAACACCATTTAAAGGGCGACTAGAAACAGACTATCGAATAAATGGTCCTAATTTCATGGAACAGCGAGTTTGGTCAGAAACAAACTGCATTAGCCTTCAAATTCCCTCCAATTTACGTGCACTCAGAGTTAAAGAAGGTAGGAAAGAATAACCAATGCTTACTTTCAGGCGCATATACGTCTCAGCTCGCATTCTAAGCCCGTTAATGTGCTTTCAAACAGTAGCAAATTAAGCAAAATAAAGAGTGTCGCCAACTTATTTGCACCGTAAAACAGCCAAATCCGAGCAATAATAATGGCGGGGTTTCGAGAGAAAAAAAAGATAATAACCAGTTAAGCCTACAATTTAATAATTCCTCACTCAAAGCTATACAAACCACACTATTACGAAAGGAATTTAAGCACAGGCAGGGCAAAGTTCCCAATCCATTCACTTTGCAGCACGTCTGTGTTTTGGTAGGCAATTCAAAATAAAACCAACCAAACAGCTCACAGATTTCTGATATGGTTCGAACTGGGCGCAACATAACGGATGAAACAATTTTGCAGACCCGCTATGTTCGGGCTAGTAGATATCAAAACAGCGGAGAGCGAAACAAAACAAAATGAGATTTCACGAAAAACTAATTTCTGGCGTCAACTATAAACAAGCCAGCTCCGATCGTAAAGATCAATTTCAAAGACCCCAAATTTCTCAAACAAATACATGCTGTCATAAGAATGACTAATAGTTAAATGATTAATAAAACAATGAGAAAAAATCAATAGGTAACCTAACCTAAGGCTTGCTCTATGAACTTCGACATTATGCATTGAAAAATTTTACGAAACACAAAAATTTTCTGTAGCTCTTCAAAAATCGGACCGAAATAGCAGATTTTAAATTTTGAGTTTAGGTAATTATTTAGGTTGACATGAGCGCATATATACAGCGCCCTTTAAGCTATGACTTACTTGCAAGAGCTCGCCTTACCAATTACAGCGCAAGTGCGATTTGAACCAGCAATCATATGATTGCTGGCCACCATCACAACCGGAGCGACCGTTAAATAACAGATTTCGAATTTTATAAAAGCTTTTATAAAGAAAAAACCAACCAGCACAAAATCTAACCTTTCTTCTAAAATCGGAAACATGGAATAACAAAACTGCTCGCATCTGGGCGAAGCCCTAAATATTCAGACTGTCTTTTAAGGTCAATGGCGCAGCGTTCACTTTTTTTTAAAAAAAAAAGTGGATAAAATTTTCAGGTATTTTTCTTTTTTTGGATATATATTTTTTTGAAAACTATCCACCCACACGCTATGCAAAAAACAAATTGATGAATTTCGCAAAAATTTAATACACCAAATAGCATACCTCAATTTAATTTCGAACGATTTCTAAGGCCGATTAAATCTCATAACGCGGTAAAACCACAAAATATATCGCAATTGTTCCAAATAGACACAATTGGTCATTTTTAAGCCCCAATTAATTTAAGAAAAATGATCACAAGTTAGATATCTTTTTCAATTCGGGCTCAAGACAACAGTACTTTTCGGCTGATATAAAAAACTCCCGTCAAAAATTGTTATATAAAAAGTCAAAAAACCACAGCAGCACAAATATTCCGCCATTTTCTTCAAAACTCAAAGCAAAAAATGTAATCCCAGTCCAGTAAGGATGCATTAGGACAAACTAGCTTGCTTCAATTCAATTTGTAAAGATTTTTTGAGCTTTGAAAGTTGGATTGACTTGTAGCTAACAAATAAGTCGCGCTAACGCAATGGGCATCATAATTAAGTGAAAAATCGAGCATAATTTAGACGCGCATAAATTCAAAACCTAGAATTTTACGAAAAAAGATTGCATGCTAAATATCGTTTTACAGTTCAGATCAACGTCGATGTGTTTAAATGTGCATAAACCAAAAGAAGACTTCAAAAGAGTACAGTTATTTTAACACAGCATTATTTGCGAAAACACGGTATTCGAAACGAACTTTAGGCTCGATTTTGCTTTCTACTGACCAAAAAATTGGTTAGTAAGACAGTTGGAAAACCTATGGCTTTAAAGATCTTTGAACTTCAGGAAGAATTAAGGAAATGTCAATTTTTGATAGAATTAACCCAATTTGAAAAAAAAACTGGATAATTAGAAAAATTATTATTCCGCTCCAAAATTTATAAATTGAAATTTAGTTTCGAATTTTTAAGTGAATCACGTTTTTTTTTCGAATTTTATTCTGCAGCTGTTCACTCAGGTTGCCTTCCTTCTATTAAAAAAAAATGAACTGAACTTAGCTCAGCAAAAAATACGCGAACAATTAACTTAACTTGAACGTCATCAGATTTTAAGACTAATCCTGAAAAAAATCATCTCGACCTATATAAAAATCTTCACTACGTTCATGGACTCCTAATCAGAAAGTATTTGTAGATTATAGGTATTTAAGACATATAGTAACGCCGCCTCTTTCTCGAAAAAAAACCATGAGGTTTCTCTTCGGAATCAAAACTTCGATTGAAGGGCCCTTAATATTTTCTCACTTAACTCTTCAATTCTCTTTAACAATTAAAACTGAGTGAAAAATTCCCGACTCTTTTAGCTGTAAATCTGTAATTTTGTTTGCGCTCTTCAATTTTAACAAAAAGCGGTTGAAAGCTACGCGAATAGCATTGAATCTTCTCTCTACGATGAACTATTTTAGTTTGCAGAGGCAAATGTGCAATTCCCAAATAAAAGCAAAAAAAAACAGCAATCGACAGTTTAAGAATGCAAAAAAAAACTAACTGAAATTACAAATTTACAAATTGCCCTCTTCGGGACTCGAACACCGTTCTCGTAGTTAGAGAATTATGTACTGCCAACTGCGCAAATGCACCATGAAAAACTGGACTCCAGATAGAACTTTTCAGCTTGATAGTGGAGTTTGCGAAGCTGATAGTAAAGCTGAACTTAAAAATAAAGCAAATCAAACTACGGAAAATTAGATTTCAGCGTCAACAAATTTTGATTGGATACAATGTAATTTCCGACGCTTAAAATAAAGCTAATGAGATGGACCGATTTTGTTAAATATGCTATAAAATGAAATAAATTGCAGGTAATTGGGATGTATGTTTTTCAATATTTTTCAGAAACTTTCATTTTTTTGGCTTCTAATTTTTGAAATTTCTTCGCCGTCGGAACATTCTGTGTTAGTTATTTCACGGTTGCGCTTGCTTGTTTTAAAATTTGATCACATTGATTTAGACTAATTCTCTTACCTTCCGCTTCAAAGTTAGTAAATTAGAAGAGCTTGCGTACCTCGATAACTGGAACAGCTCTAGGATTCGTTTTTTGGCACAACTTGTTTCATAAAAGTTGCGGTTTCTCAAAGCCAGTCAAGTCAGTTCAGCGAACTAGCAGTAGACTTGAGGGGTTTTATGAATTTAAGGCTCTGATTAAACACAATTTACTAAACACAATTTCGTCGGGTAGAGGTCTAATTATAGTGCCGCGGGACATCTTTGTATATCAAACTGACTGGTTCTATAGCATGAGTAATACATTGGATTGGCCATTGAGGATTGTTGAAACATAGGCTTCTGTTTATTTATTCAGGGGGAAGGATAACACTTCGAAGCGAAAGGAAAGAGGCAAAGACAACTAGTTGGTTGGGTCTGTAAAGCCCTCGCAACAGGCAAACCTAAACAGTTATCAGACAGTTAGCACAATAATTAACAAGACAAAACGTATAAACGGATCTAAATTAACATAGCAGACAGCTCCATGTATCTTTATTATCTATGAAACAAGAAGAAACTTGGTTCACAAAAAGTGTTAAAAATATCTTGCCGAAAAAAAACTATGAGATAAATTTTTTGGGAAATATTCCATTCATTATTTTATGAATATATTAAGTAAATAAAAAGCAAAAAACGTCAAGCATTGTTCACCACTCGCATCCATTTCCTTAATTTATGAGCAAAAAAAATCAAATCAGTTCAAACCCTTGCCTTTTTTCTGTCAGTCAACGTGAAGGAAAATTGAATATACGGCAGACAACTTTTCGCAATATAATTAAACAATAGGTACGAAAAAATAGGGGGATAAAATATGAGATAGACATCTAATAAATTAAGAATAGGGAAACATGATCATCAGATGGCTGGGAGAAATAAGCCAAAACAACAGCTAACTGAGCAGC